TTTTATGCATTCTCTAGGGGGTGAAAATTGTATTAACCCAGGGGGACGTGGACGGGTGGGTGGCCCAAGAAAAACCTTGACTCAAGTTGCCAGTTACAAGCCACAAGTTGCATGTTAGCAGCGCGTAAATTTTTTCTGTTTATTGCCCAGACAGACAACCGAATGGGAAACTTTCACGTGCGGACAACAAATGGTTGGAGTTAAATTTTTTAATTTACTTTCCTCAAGCATTGTGCGCCGGAAGTGTTTAAAATTGTAAAGGCCGGACACGCCTTAACCGCCTGGAGGAGCTACTTAGATGCAAATGATAGCTACAAATGACTTGAGCATCGGGGGCCAATAAAACAAGGCTTAGAGATGTTCAAACAGGGAAAGAAAAATTGTATATTAATATTTTAAAATGTATTTAATAAACCATATAACTTCTGTGTTTTCAATATTTATAGATATTTCCTTGTGATTTTATTTAAGATTTTGAGTTTAGATTTAAACAAATTCACAAAACAGTGTCAATCAATATAAGAAATCATAATGTTTACAAAAGACACGCACTATAACCAAAACCAGATCGCCTCTCAACCGATTCAGGCTTGTATTAGCCAAGTTTGTATTATAAACCCATAGAAAAAAATGTTAAAAAAAAACCTACATCTCTGAAGAGCCATCTCAGACATAAGCACACTTAGAGCTTACGCCTTTGGTTCGAAAAACTAACCACCGGCAAGGGGTATAAAGCACATTACACAGACACCAAACTAAGGCAGCAGGACACAAGCCGCCAGACTGCAGACTGGTGGATTTCAGAGCCACTTCAGCATTGGCCACATAAAGTGTCATTACCTCGAGTGGCCTAGAAGGTTGCTACGGTCTGGGAACCAACATTCGACTGGCAGATTCTTTTAGCAGATTACTGCCAGCCAGCCAGCCAGCTAAGCAAATAAATGCTTCAGCATAAAAATATGAAATTATTTACTTCCCAAAAAAAACGGATGGGCAAGGAAAAGTTGAGAAAATGATAATTGCGATAGAGAAATTCCGATACTCTTACATTACTTTTGAAGGTATTAATATATATAAATATAAAATATCTTTTATTTATTTATTAATTTTTGTAAAAAAATTAAACTTGGCATATAATGTTAAAATTAATATTAAATTAACCAGCAAAGGCCTTCGACAAAATATATTTTCTTTATTTTTTGTACCCAGAATGCACTTAAAAACTATTACAAAAATTGTTAAAAATTAAAAAAAATGGATTCATAAATTTAATTATATTTACTATAAAGGCAAAGAGATCTTGTTTATTATTTTTAATAATTTTATGAATACAAATGTTGCTTTTAAACCATTAATAAAATGAATAAGCTGTAATAAAATAGTGAAAAAAATTAATTTTATAATAAGAAAGATATATTTTTCCATTTCGCTTAATAACTTTTATAATATTTAAATTAATTATACATATTTTTAACATTTATTTAAGTTAGTTCTTAATTATTATATTAAATGCTTTTGTAATTATTTCGCAATCTGCAATAAACTTTATTTAAAAAATGTACAAACCAACTCCATATTTCAGGTATACCTCTTTCACAGCTATAGATTCCTGTATAGTGCCGGAAAAAGTTGGAAATTCTTCCATAAATGCTGATTAACTTGCTTTCTGCTGTTGCTGCTGCATAAGCTTTTCCAACTGCTGTTGTTTTTATTGATGTTGTTGTTGTTGGTTATCTATTTGGACAGCGCCCTGGCATTGGCTTTGTGGTCGGATTTTAATATTGGCACTAAGTAGCTATCAGGACATCGCCGGACCATTCAAAATGAAGTGGCAAACTTGTTTATTATTGTTATTATGACTCTGTCTCTCCTTTTATCAACTCTAGGTCTTTCTTTGGACCAAGTTCTTCTGTGTGGCGGCGGATAGTTTTGCTTTCGAGTTTTTCGAGTGCCGGCTCTTGGACAATGTTGAATGGTATTTTCTTTTAATTAAAAAGCAAATTCCAACCGTCTCTGTCATTAGGCTGATTGAAAACCGGAGATATATATGTACATATCTAAGGGTGAGGTGGTGGCCCAGGTGGCTCCAAGTAAGCAATTTTCGCAAACGGCAAATAACAAATAACTGCATACCGTGTCGATTTTTAAGTGCTTCTCCTGAATTGCTCGAGGTAGCGCAAAAAAGCGGAAAGGCGGAAAACAAACTCGAAACTCGAAACTAAAACTGCCAGTTGAAGGCTCCCTCGGTCGCGACCCCTGGCCGGAGTTCAAATAAGCACTTGAGCCATGAAATGTGGAAAATATCCAGCCGCATAATGACCACGCTCTTGGCTCCCAGTAGCCAGTTCCCAGCTACCAGCTCCCAGCTACCGTGTCCCGTGTCCCGCATGCATATTTGCCTGAGGTTTGTATCTGTGGGCGAGGTGGCCGCCTAATGACTTTGAAACGAATGCAGCAAAGTCAGAAGCATGCACTTTGCGGGCATTACAACCAGGCTAATAACAGACGCGAGCATAATGGTGAGCTGCAACGCAATATGCGTGACGGGAGGGATCTTGATTCGCAGAGGTTACTTACTTAACCCTATCGCATTACTTCGTATTAGCCAACCGAGCAGAGTCAGTCACACTTTTCTTATTCATTAGGCATCAAACAATTGAAGAGCTTATCTGTTTTATAAATTTATGAATTTATTTTTGGCAAAGAAATCATTTAATATATCTTAAATTATATATATTAAAAAGTGTGATAAACAGAGGGTTATTTCCAATTTATTTCTTTAATTATTCTTTATAAAATCTTATGTCTCTATGTGTAGGTAATTTACATAATTTTTAAAATATCACAAAATAAATTTCCTAAGAAATAAAAAATTATATATAAAAGACTGAACGTTTCTTAAATAAATTTCTATTAAAAGTTTGAGGTACAAAATTCTTTTCTAATCACTTCTAGTTTTTGTAATTTACAATGAAATATTTAGATAATATTTTTGCTGACTTTTCTTAAGGTTTTAACTAAATAAACATATCAATTTTAGTTGTAAAAAATAAATAAAATTGACTACACTGCATAATTTTTAAAGACACAACCTGAGAAAATATTACAAAAATTATAACAATTTCAAAATAAGAACGTAAGCTTTTTAGGAACCAAAATATGTTGAAAAATGAATAATTAAAAATCTTAAAATATGTCAAATAAATCAAATAAATCAAAGATGTAATTACAGTAAAGACACTAAGGATGTATCCAGCTTAGGTTATTCTTATTGCCTGATTTCTTCAAAAGTCATATCCAACATTTGTATTCCCACCACATTTTCCACAGCCTATGTATTTATCGGCGATTTCAATGCGCGTTTCGCATACTTATTTATTTTTTAACGGAATCAGCCTATCGCATGTCCTCGTAGGGGTATGTATTTTTCCAAGTTCGTATTACGTCTTCGGCTTTCTTATCCTCTCTCTTCCTATCTTAGTAGGAAAATTGTCAAACTTCCTGTGGGGACTTTTATAATTTGGTTGCGCCTATTACGTATTTGTTTGTATTGGTTGGGAAGGTTTACAGATGGCTTCGATTTCATAAAATAACAGGAACAGCAGGACAAATATTGCCCAATTATTAAGACATGTTGAATATAGTCTTTTTTTAACGACAAATTAGAAGAGAAAGTAGACAGGTAGACGTTTTAAAAATATTTTTATACGTTTATAAACAGCATTTAATTTTTTTGGAAATTGTAAAGCAATAAGTGTGATAACTGACTGTATTAATTCAAACTAACTAAAATGTTTAATACATAATACATATAAATACATATACATATAAATATATAAATTTGTATTCAATATTTAATGTATTTTTTCAATGTTTTTATTTTTCTTAATTATTCCTTTTTTTATTGACAATTGCTGCATAGCAACGTTAGTTTGGATTAACTCACCACACCTCTCATTCAGCTGACTGCGGGGAAATTTCTGCCAACAAAAAAATTCCCTTTCAACCGAGTTTTGCCAACCGAGAAAGCTGCCAAGGAGCTAGGCATTTGGGAGTAATTTTGTATACTACAATTTAATTTAATGAAATAATAAATTAAATAGTCACCTATACGTTCTAGTAAATGGCCAAAACTTTAGTATGCACCGGCTGCAAACATCCTATGGTAAAGCAGAGCATGGCATTAATTTGTTATGCAGAAATTAATTTGGATTTTGTCCTGTTTGTAATCATGTTTCAGGCTTAATTGAATTGTAAATATTTGGCTTTTAATTAAAGCAAAACTAAACGTTGAAAATTCCTGGGAACTTTGATATCAGCTTGTACCAAGCTTTAAACAACAATGTAAACTTTGATATCACCTCTTTAAAGCAGAATAAATCAAGGACACAAATTAAACCAAATTCAATATTTTCAACCAAAACCAAACTGAAAAATATACAAAGCTCAAAATATTGTGTGGAATGAAAATATCTTTTATTCTTTTAATTGCTGTCTCGGTAATGTCATTTCGCGCGAAAAGAAATCTTACTTATTCTGCAAGCTTCCAGTGAAAACAAGTTGGCATTAAACTTTTAACGATTTTTCAAAAAATCTGCAATGTATGATTTCGGGTACTGCCAAAATGACCTTCTAAGAATCTTAGAAAATGTGCCAGCAATTTAATTACCAAAATGCATTACAAAAAACCAACAAAATTTCCAAGAATATTTAATTCTAAAATTTATTTTTAGATTTATTTCCGATGCATATAAATATTACTTTATTTAAAATCAAACGGAATTCTTTTGATATTCGTTCTGTTTTATACAATTAAATATGTTTGATAATGCATGACCCCAAATTATGTCAATGATCGCTCAAGAATTCCAAGAAAAAATTAGACAATAAAAAAAAACTAAATAATTCGAATTCAGCGATAAGCCGCTGCTTTCCGATGTATTTAAAAAGAAGAACCGCAGTGGCTGCTAAATTGTGTGTGTGTCTAGCTACGAGCAGAGATGAGGTGCTCTTCGATTCTGATTTTCATATCTTTCGTGGGATTGCTCCTCCGCAAAGAGGCGCTGGCTCAGTTCCTAGAGCCAGAATGTGGCCTCTCAGGCATGGACATAAAAATTTTTGGCGGTGTTAATGCTACGCACGGAGCGTTTCCATGGATGGCCTACCTCTATTTTAACGAAAATACTTTCTTATGCGGTGGATCTCTCATTCACAAAAGTAAGATTTCATTTGATTTTGATTTATTTTTTTTAATACCGTCTCTCCTTTCCTTCAGGAATTGTCCTGACTGCTGCTCACTGCATTCGGAATACGGAATATCTGTGAGTATTATACTCGAATTTAACACTCTTCACTAGAATAACTCCTATCGCCTTAGCTCTGTACGTCTGGGGGAGCACTATACCGCATCCAGGGCAGCCAGCTCTACAGTCTACAGAGTGACCCTGGCCATTAGGAACCGTCTCTACAGCAAGACTGAGCATATCCACGACATTGGTTTACTGAGGCTCGATCGTGAGGTGATGTTCAACGGTGGGTTAACACGAAACTTCTCTCCAAGGCATTTCTAAAAACTATTTTTTAAAAACAGCATACATCAAGCCGGTGTGCATCATCACGAATCCAAGAACGGTACCGTACGTTAGCACCTACACGGCTACAGGGTGGGGCAGGACGGAGAACAGTGTGATATCCGCGGTGTTGCAAGTGGTTCAGTTAACGGACACCGATCCCAACAGGTGTTACGAATACATGAAGCTCCGGCTCGGCCCTGAACAGATCTGCGCCTTTAATCCCACTGGCGACACCTGCTCAGGAGATTCCGGCGGTCCGCTGGTGCAGATTGTGAACATCGATGGCATCTGGCGGTATGTCCAGTTCGGCATCGTTAGCTACGGGATGGAAAATTGCATGAGTCCGGGAGTCTATGTCCGGGTACACCACTATGTGGACTGGATTCTTGATAAAATACAAATTGCGCTTACCTACAAAGGTAAACAATAAATATATATACCCGATAAAAGGGTACTTACAGCTGTGTTCACGGAAATAGCAGTGCCCCACGACCTGCACGTTTAAGATTGGAAAATACTATTACAAACACTATTTTCATAAAATTTTTTTTCATAAAGGCTTAGTGTATTTAATTATTAACAATACCACAATCATTTAATTTAGGTAACATAAACCTTATAGAAGATATAGCTAATAACAACAAAAAAGGTCTATATTATGCCGATCATTGAAATAGCAGTGAAAAACTAAAATTCTTCATAAATTTAAAAATATCGTATAAGAAACCTATTTCCTCTTAAATTCTAATTGACTATGATCTAATATTTTGTTAAATAGCCTTTAGAAGCTATCATAGCCTCATACCTGGGTGGCAAGGAGTCCACCAAGTCTTAGCAACGCTTGAGGGGAATATGGCCTCATTCCTCCTGCACAAATTGCCAAAGCTGTGGCCTAGAAGTCGGAAACTTCTTTAATACGTAGCCCTTGATGTCCCCCATAAGTTTTCGATCGGATTTATATCCGGGGACTGGACAGGCAATGGCATTGCATCCACTTTTTCATTAAGAACCCACTCCTTGGCCACCTTGATGGTATGATTAGGGTCACTGTACTGCTAAAACGTCCAAATTAATGGCATATTTTCCTCAGTATACGGCTGCAAGACAGTTTTTAATATTTAGACATAAACATAATGGTTTTTGATCCCACCGATCATATATACGGGACCTACAACGTTGTATGAAAAGTATACCCAAACCATGATTTTTAGGCCACCATGTTTTACTGTCTTCAGCGTATGGTTTGGGTGGTACTTTGTATTTGGAGGTCGACGGACATATTGTCTTGTCCTATTCCACCAAATAAAACCAGTTTGGAGTCATTTGTCCAAAGGATATTACGCCATTTCAATAGTGGCAGTTCAAGTGGCTATTGGCGAACTCCAATCTGGCCGTGATATGCCTTTAACCAAGCAGTGACATTTTCCATGGACTTCGCGAATCTAAAATTTATTCAATAAGACCCCGGCGAATGGTCCCATGACTGATTCCCATGCCAATTCCCGCTCATATATCCCTAGAGGATGCAAAAGGACGAGCTTTGCTGAAGCGAAGTACGCGTCGAGCCTGTACAACTGTGGTTTTGCGAATCGTACCTCGGTTTTTTTGGGTTCGGTTCATATTTTATGATTTATAAACTATTCTAAAATAACAATTTGAAAGATTTGGAGTCTCTTTACATGTTTTGCCCTTCTTTCTAGGCTAAGTAATCTGATACCTTTCTCTCATGGAGCAGTGAGGTCCTGCGCCCACAAAAATAATAATTTTTTTTGCGTTGTAAAGGTGTATTATAGTATAAACTATAATAACGACCGTAATTAAACTCATTTTTTACAAAATTAAAAGAAATTTCGGCACTTTTTGCGAAAGAAAATTAAATACTGCTATTTCAGTGATCGGCCAAAACGAGCTGCATATGTGAAAAAATATCAATAAAACATAAAAATAGAGCAAATCTAACGGAATTTTTTCTCGATTCTTATCTTTATGTTCCATTTTACAAAAACAATGTGCAATAGATCAGCTTGCAAAAAGGAATATGTACAAAAAAACGTTTTGAAGTTGTTCCTGTCGCACTGCTATTTCAGTGAACACAGCTGTATAATAACAAAAGACCAACTGAAAATGTTGTTAATAAGCAGAAGGAGCGGTAGCCCTCAAGAAAGTGTATAAATCTATCTATTTCTATGGCAAGACTTGTTTTTCCATATATCTAGCCAATCTTTTCCCATAACTAATATCGTTGTGCTTATGGTAAAAAAAATCTATATTATTTCAAAAATAATTTAATACAAATTTAATTGCAATTTCACCATATAAAATTGTTAAAAAAAAAATCAAAAAAATAACCTTTATATATCTATTAAAAATTGTTATTTTTTAGTTTATTCGGAATATTACATTTAGTTTAAGAGCTTATTTAGCAGCGAACGGGATGAGTTCTTTTGATTTTCGTAGACTTTTGTACTACACATTATTTTATTATTAAGCCGCTCTTGATGATTCCAATAATGATTCCAATAATCTATTCCAAGAAATAAAAATTACACAAAGTAAACAAAAACAAATATTAAAAAAATAATGCAGCGATAAGCCGCCGCTTTCTGATGTATTTTAAAATAAGAACTGCAGTGGCTGCAATCAGTTTGTGCGTGTCTGGTTACGAACAGAGATGAGGTGCTCTTCGAATCTGATTTTCGTATCTTTCGTGGGATTGCTCCTCCGCAAAGAGGCGCTGGCTCAGTTCCTGGAGCCACAATGCGGCCTCTCAGGCGTGGACGATAAAGTGTTTGGCGGTGTTAATGCCACGCACGGAGCGTTTCCATGGATGGCCTACCTCTATTTTAACGAAAATGATTTCTTATGCGGTGGATCTCTCATTCACAAAAGTAAGTTTTTATTTGATTTTGATTTATTTTTTTAATACCCTATCTCCTTTCCTTCAGGATTTGTCCTGACTGCTGCTCACTGCATACGGCATACGGAATATCTGTGAGTATTATACTCGAATTTAACACTCTTCACTAGAATAAATCCTATTGCCTCAGCTCTGTACGTCTGGGGGAGCACTATACCGCATCCAGAGCAGAGAGCTCTACAGTCTACAACGTCACTTTAGCCATTAGGAACCGACTCTACAGAAAGGCTGAGCATGTCCACGACATTGGGTTACTGAGGCTCAATCGTGAGGTGGTGTTCAACGGTGGGTTAACATTAAACCTTCCTCCAAAGCTTTTCTCACAAGTACTGCTCCCAACAGCTTACATTAGGCCAGTCTGCATCATCACGAATCCCAGGAGGGTACCTCACGTTAACACCTACACGGCTACAGGATGGGGTTCGACGGAGAACAGTAGGATATCCGCGGTGTTGCAAATGGTTCAGTTGACGGACATAGATCCCAACACGTGTTACGATAACATGAAGCTCCGTCTCGGCCCTGGACAGATCTGCGCCGCTAGTCCCACTGGGGACACCTGCTCAGGAGATTCCGGCGGTCCGCTGGTGCAGAATGTGAACGTCGATGGGACCTGGCGGTATGTCCAGTTCGGCATCGTTAGCTACGGGATGCAGAGGTGCATGGGTCCGGGAGTCTATGTCCGGGTGCACTACTATTTGGACTGGATTCTTGATAAAATACAATTTGCGCTTACCTACAGAGGTTAACAATAAATATATATACCCGCTAAAAGGGTATTTATTATAACAAAAGACCAACTGCAAGTGTTTTGACTTACCGAAAGTGTATACATATATCCCAGATCAGCATCGCAAAGGCAGTAGAAAAGTGGAAATGTAAATATTTCTATTGCTAGACTCATTAATCATTTCCCTTATATCTAGCCAATGTTTTAATTAATATAGTCGTGGTTATGGTAATAAAGTCTATATAATTTTAAAACTTAAAACAATGAATTTAATACTAATTTAATTGCAATTTGAACCTAAAAAGCATTCCAAAGAACCAATAAAGTAAAGGTATAAGAACCAATTAGTAAATTTAAGACAAATTTATATCTTTTAGCTTTATTCCGAATATTACATTTAGTTTAAGAGCTTATTTAGCAGCGAACGGGATCAGCGCCTTTGATTTTCGTGGAGTTTTACACTATACCAGATTTTCCTTTTAAATATGATTCCATTTTGTCAAGAAACACTCAAGTATTCCAAGAAATAAAAAATTAAAAAATAAAACAAAACTAAATAAGTGGAAATTACTTACAGAGAGATTTTCCTATTAAGCCGGACTTAAATGATTCCATTTTGCCAAGAAGCCCTCAAGTATTCCAAGAAATAAAAATACACCAAGTAAACAAAAACAAATAAGAGAAATTAGTGCAGCGATAAGCCGCCGCTTTCTGATGTATTTAAAAAGAAGAGCGGCAGTGGCTGCTATCAGTTTGTGCGTGTCTGGCTACGAGCAGAGATGAGGTGCTCTTGGATTCCGATTTTCGTATCTTTCGTGGGATTGCTCCTCCGAAAAGAGGCGCTGGCTCAGTTCCTAGAGCCAGAATGTGGCCTCTCAGGCATGGACATAGGTGGCCTTGATTTCAGGCACGAAGCTTATCCTTGGATGGCCTACCTCTATGACCACGAAAATGAATTCGTATGCGATGGATCCCTCATTCATAAGCGTAAGGTTTACCTTTATTTAGATTTTCTTTTTAATATCCTATTGAAACTCTCTCTTCCTTCAGGATTTGTCCTGACTGCTGCTCACTGCATTAGCAGTTTCGTAGATCTGTAAGTTTTATACTCGAATTTAACACTCTTCACTACAATAACTCCTATTGCCTCAGCTCTGTACGTCTGGGGAAGCACTATACCGCATCCAGGGCAGAGAGCTCTACAGTCTACAACGTCACTTTAGCCATTAGGAACCGTCTCTACAGCAAGGCTGAGCATGTCCACGACATTGGGTTACTGAGGCTCGATCGTGAGGTGGTGTTCAACGGTGGGTTAACATTAAATCTTCCTCCAAAGCTTTTCTCACAAGTACTCCTTCAAACAGCTTACATCAGGCCGGTCTGTGTCATCAAGAATCGCAGGAGGGTACCGCACGTTAACACCTACACGACTACAGGGTGGGACAGGACGGAGAACAGTAGGATATCCTCGGTGTTGAAAGTGGTTCAGTTGACGGAAGTAGATCCCAACGCGTGTACCGAATACTCGAGACGCCGGCTAAATTTTGGACAATTCTGCGCCTCTAATTCCACTGGCGACACCTGCTCAGGAGATTCGGGCGGTCCGCTGGTGCAGATTGTGAACGTCGATGGCACCTGGCGGTATGTCCAGTTCGGCATCGTTAGCTACGGGATGCAGAGGTGCATGGGTCCGGGAGTCTACGTTCGGGTACACTCCTATGTGGACTGGATTCTTGATAAAATGCAATTTGCGCTTACCTACAAAAATTAACAATAAATCTCTATACCCGCTAAAAGGGTATTTAATTTAATAAAAGACCAACTGCAAGTGTTTTTACCTACCGAAAGTGTATACATATGTATATCCCAGATCAGCATCGAAAAGGCAGTAGAAAAGTGGAAAGGTAGCTATTTCTATGGCTATACTAATTAATTTTTCCCTTATATCTAGCCAATATTTTAATTAATATAGTCGTGATTATGGTAATAAAGTCTATATTATTTTAAAACTTAAAACAAATAATTTAATACTAATTTAATTGCAATTTGAACCTAAAAAGCATTCCAAAGAACCAATAAAGTAAAGGTATAAGAACCAGTTAGTATATTTAAGACAAATTTATATCTTTTAGCTTTATTCCGAATATTACATTTGGTTTAAGAGCTTATTTAGCACCGAACGGGATGAGTGCTTTTTATTTTCGTGGAGTTTTACAAAATAAAAATTTTCCTTTTAAATAAGATTCCATTTTGTCAAGAAACACTCAAGTATTCCAAGAAATAAAAAATTAAGAAATAAAACAAAACTAAATAAGTGGAAATTACTTACAGCGAGATATTCCTAGTATACTAGGATACTCAAGTATTCCAGGAAATAAAAAAATTAAGAAATAAAACAAAACTAAATAAGTGGAAATTACTTCAGCGATATTTTCCTATTAAGCCGGACTTAAATGATTGCCAAGAAGCTCTCAAGTATTCCAAGAAATAAAAACTACACCAAGTAAACAAAAACAAATAAGAGAAATTAGTGCAGCGATAAGCCGCCGCTTTCTGATGTATTTAAAAGGAAGAGCGGCAGTGGCTGCTATCAGTTTGTGCGTGTCTGGCTACGAGCAGAGATGAGGTGCTCTTGGATTCCGATTTTCGTAACTTTCGTGGGATTGCTCCTCCGAAAAGAGGCGCTGGCTCAGCTCCTGGAGCCACAATGCGGTCTCTCACGCGTGGACATAGGTGGCCTTGATTTCAGGCACGAAGCTTATCCTTGGATGGCCTACCTCTATCACGACGAAAATGATTTCGTATGCGGTGGATCCCTCATTCACAAGCGTAAGGTTTACCTTTATTTAGATTTTATTTTAAATATCCTGTTGGATTTATCTCTCTTCCTTCAGGATTTGTCCTAACTGCTGCTCACTGCATTCGGCATACGGAATATCTGTGAGTATTATACTCGAATTTAACACTCTTCACTACAATAACTCCTATCGCCTCAGCTCTGTACGTCTGGGAGGGCACTATACCGCATCCAGGTCAAACAGTTCTACAGTCTACAGAGTGACCCTGGCCTTTAGGAACCGCCTTTACAGCGAGGAGAATCATGTGCACGACATCGGGTTACTGAGGCTCGATCGTGAGGTGAAGTTCAACGGTGGGTTAACAAGAAACTTCTCTCCAAGGCATTTCTAAAGAGTATTTTCTAAAAACAGCATACATTAGGCCGATCTGCATCCTCACAAATAGCACGGTGATACCTCGCATTACCACCTACACGGCTATGGGATGGAATATGACGGAGAACAATCGGACATCCGCGGTGTTTCAAGCAGTTCAGTTGACGGAAATGAATCTCATCACGTGTTACGATTACATGAAGCTCCCGGTCGGTCCTGGACAGCTCTGCGCCGCTAATCCCACTGGCAACACCTGCTCAGGTTATTCAGGCGGTTCGCTGGTGCAGATTGTGAACATCAATGGAACCCGGCGGTTTGTCCAGTTCGGCATCGCCAGCTACGGAGTTCCGAGGTGCATGGGTCCGGGAGTCTACGTCCGAGTCCACTACTATGTGGACTGGATTCTTAATGTAATACGACAGGGGCTTACTCTCAAAATTAATCAATAAATTTATATACCCTCTAAAAGGGTATTTATTATAACAAAATACTAACTATGGTACAAGTGTTTTTAATAGGGAAAAGAAACGATAAAACAGTCAAAAATTTTAAAGCTATTTCTATTCCTATACTCATTCATTTTTCCTTATATCAAGCCAACATTTTAATTAATATAGTTGTGCTTTTGGTAATATAGTCTATATTATTTCAAAAATCTAAGAAAATAACTTCAGCATCATAATATAAATTAAACGTTTTTAAATTTTACTTTTTGCCGTTTCTACCAATTCAAAAAGCTTTCACAAATCTTGTGGCCATAACTCAACCAACGAAACATTCATTACGGCTTAATTATTTCAGCTTCCAATCGAACAGGAATACTCTCCACAAAATTTGTGATCTTTGACTGAAATGAAAATGATAGGAAAAGCACGGCAAACGCAAACAATACCAGCGGCCGCAATTAATTTTTCGCACAAATCGCAAAAATAATCAAAAATTAGATAGCAGCAGCAACACCTGCTGCTGACGATGCCGCGCGTAGAGGCTGCTGCTGTTGTTGTTTTTAATGCAGCTGCATCGAAAAACAATAGGTGCCGATGGCCGGAAAGCTGTTATCCCATGATTGCGGTCAGTTTTCGGCCGGCTTTGCTTAGGCCTCGCTGCCCGCTACACAGTTGGCAGTCCTGAAACAATAAAGTCCGCAAATTGACGCCACAAGCTGTTGGTTCAATGCGAGCACGCTGCCGCCCATTCTCCAATGCCCCACTACCCTCCTGCCCGTTCTGGTGCCCCGCTTAGTCGGCTGCACTTCCTCTGCTCCGCCATATTGAATTTGAACCTCTGGTTGGGAGCCTCAAATGCATCAGCTCCGTCTTTCATACACAGTAAGAAATTTTGTAAATAAATCTTATTTTTTTGTAAGATATTATAAAGATTTGCAGGGATATTATAAAGATTTTTTGCTATGTAGTGGAGCTTAGTTACGAGTTGTTAAAGTTTTGAAATTCATTTATATTTTAAAATAATAAATATACAATTATAAATATATTCAGAATTTTATTCAAATTATTAAAGATATTTTTATAAATATTTTAAGAAATTCTAAAAATAAGAAGTCTTAATTTCTTTAAGTGCCTCTACCTTTCCGAATCCTAGCTCCCAGGCTCTCCTCCTGCTGTTGCAGCTTCGTGTTTTGGTGCTGCTTTTATTTGCCAGCTTGCTTTCTGCTGGTTAGCCGGTTGAATTTCCCGAAATTTTCAACTTGCAGGCCAGGCAGTCTCCGGACTGAACGGCGTCGTCGCGCGTGTTGCCAACGAAAATACAAGCAAACATATTGGCTCCCTTTTTCCCGGCCTCCTAGAACTGGTGCTGCTCCTGCTGCACATCCCCATTCCCCGGGCAATAATTATCGTGAGCGTTGTGGCTCCGGCCTCGGCAACTTGTTGTTTAAAATGCATTCTGTATGGATTGATCTGGACTCTGGAGCACTGCATTTGCAAATTGCTGGTTATGAAATCTGAACAAAAATTGCCCACAAGCCAGTTGAAGGTTGTTCATATTAAATTGAAATTTTATGTAAACTTGTAGGCCAAGTCTACAAATAATTATTAAATTTTAAGCTTTTTAATTAAATACCTTATCTTGTATCATTAAATATTTACTTTAATTTAATATAATTGAATTTCCTTGACTATTTGCTCAGCATTTAATGCAGCATAAAACAATCTACACTTTCATTAACACTCCAACATGTCTTGTTCTTAATTTAAATCACCAATTATATGTTTAAAGTGAGATTATTAATCAATATCACTCACATTTATTGCCTTTAAATGGTTGGACTTCTATCCTAAGCTTGAAAATCCAACCTACTCCAGCTGGGGCACCCCACCAATCACAAACACAACACGAAGTAGAGTCATCGACAGATGCAATATGCATACTGCCCCAATAAATACCAATTAAAATTTTATTCTCATTGAAATAAACAAAAAAAACTCTATAGACAATAAAACAATTTGTGGTTCTTTTTTAGAATCGCTTTACAAAACAAAAATAAAGCAAAAAAAAGTGAGAATTGTGGCATAAATAACAATAACAGAGTCTGAACAATGCGGTTTAAGCTCGCCCAATGAAATCAAATAGGAGTCAAACGCATTTATTTAAATCAAAACAAGCAGAAAAACCTGTCAAAAAAAAAGGCAAAAAAAAACAATTGAGGGGGAAACCTAGTGCAGGAGATGCCGGAAACTAAACTGAACTCGACCCAGTTTCAACCCAATCCGTAATCCGTGCCCAGCCCCAGTTAGGTTATACATACATATATTCACACGCACTCTTTTGCACTTGCCACAATGTTGTTATGTGGCAATGGTTTTTTCTGTCCTGTTGCCCTTTTTTTCCTTGCCTTTATTGGTCTGTCATGTTTATGTTGGCAACTTGTTTTTGTTTGCCGTGTAATCGAGTCAATTGTTTCCGGTTCGTCGATGAGGCAATCGAGTGAGTCTGTTCTTTATGGTCCTTTTTTTGTTTTCCCTCTTTTTTTCCTTGTTGGTAAAAACGAGCTTTGTTTTCCGTGTCGAAGTTTGTGTTTTTTGGTGTTGATATGACCAACATCCGTTTAGGATATTGCTGCTGCCCGGGGGGCGTTGCTGACAAGGGTTAATAAGCTCGTAGGCCTGTCACTCCTTTGCAGGGATAAGTAAGTTGTGTGATTTTAAATGATTTGTTAGGTGTTCCTACGATAAGTCCTGGAAAATGAAGTTTACAAATTAAGGCTATTTTGTGAAATTTTTATTAAAGTAAAACCTTACTTTAAGTTTAAAAAAATTATTATTTGCTTTAAATATATTCTTAGAATTTAAATAAAAACAAATTCAACCTTTTTCCTTAAATGTTGTTTTTTTCTAATCAGCAAAAATATTTATAGGGTTATTTTATTAACATGATTAATGTTTTAATATTTAATTTAATTTGTAAAACCTTTTATTTTATTTATTTTATTTGCATTTCAAAACACACACTTTGTAGCTACAGAAAACCCTAGGGATTTACAATTTCCCAAAAAAAATTGTCAAAATTTATGCTAAAAATTTATTTAAAAAACAAATTTGATGAAATTTGGCACAGCAAGTAATTTTTTAATATTTTTAGCTACCTTTAAAGTAGATTTAAATATATGAATTATTTCCCAAACTAATTTTAAAAGCTTAAAACTGACTTGTTTATTAAATCTGAGATCCATTTTAAGCTCTAGCAATGCAAAAGTAAAAAACCATTACAAAATAAATACAATACACATCCATTTACGAATACACATTGCCTTATTTAGCATAATCTTTAATTTAAGCTGCGGAAAAACCTTTTATTCGCACTCATTAACATTCCCGCTGGCCAATTACCACCCACAAATTTTGGCATCTTATGTCGGCATGCTTGGCGTCAACTGCCGAGACATAATTAACCCTTATTTGTACATTTTATGGACGCCACCATAAAAGCGCCATTTAAATTACAAAGCGCAATACAAGCCAGGGCCATTTGGCAGGTCAACGGAGTCCTTTGTTAATCGGCTGTTTTCAGTTGGGTTCTGGCTCCTACGCTGAATACACCAAAGGGAATGCGTAGAGGGCGCAAGACTGTCTGAGGTGGAATGTTGATGTGTTGAGTGGCTCTTAACTTTAAGGCCAACTCGGTGGATGGTCAAATTAAAGCCGCTTACCATTTGGCCGCACTGCGTGCAAGCCGGCTTCTCGCGCATAATCCAAGTATGTGGCTAGAACGCAGCCCCAGACACTTGACCCTTTCAATGCTGCACCGAATCCCAATTCAATTCTGTATGATTTTATGTTGGTTTCGGAAACTGTGACACTGATGCGGGCAGTGCTCGTCATCAGGAGGAGTTGCTGTTAGGTCGTAAAATTTGATAGATAGGGGAAGCCAGTTGAAGGAGTTTTGCAAAAAAAAAATCAGGTTCAAATAGCTTTTTTTTTAATTAAGGGGTGACTGTTTGGAAACTGGTTTTCCTAGCTTTCTTAATCTTACTCAAACTACCCCTAAGCTCAAGGGATTCTTTTTAATCATATTCCAGGCTGAGCACTTATAATTCCCAATCGTTTCTATCATAATTCAGCCTTAGGAGCATGAAGTTTTCACAGTTTGCATCACCAACCTTGTGCAGTGGCAATATCGCAAGCAATGAAGTCCTAACTGAGCTGCGATTATTGCTAGTTGAAAACTTTAACCAATAACTCGCCTAGTGTTAGGATCTCTGATCTTATACGCTGAGGCAATTTTTCTAAAGTCCGAAAGGACTGCCTTAATAATAAATTACACTTTCAAAATACCCTTACAAAACTCTTTTAAATTTATTTTGTAATCATCTCTTCTCTCAATAGTTGCTATAAAAATATCCTTATTCTATACTAAACATATTTTATTGAATGTTTGCAAGCCTTTCCGCTCCCCTAGTCCGTTCTCTTATGTGTCTTTTTCCTCTTTTTGGCACTGGATGCACTCGATACCTGCTCCAGGGAGGAGTAACCCGTCGAGGTGGAATCCCTGCTCTGGCGATAGGTGTGCAGAGGCTTCTTGGTCAGCCAAAAGCGAATGAGAAAGTGAAACTCTGCCTTTAGGGCCAGCATAGTTGGTATCTGAAATCAATTTTGACGATTACTAAATTGCACACCTGTTTGTGTAGCCTCCAAGTAACCTTCTCCTTCACTGCTATGCGATGGACATGCCAGAGGAACTCGGCCACGCCAATCACAAATGCAATAATCACGCCCACAATGAGCACTACGAACAGCCCGCCCACCGAATCCATATCGAACTGGCCATCATCGACAGTGGAGGCATCCAAGTCACAGGTGCTCTCGTTGCTGTTGAACCATTTGTTGCGCAGATTGTACAAAACGCCCGTCTCACTGAGCTTCAGGATGCCCACACTGAGATTGGAACGAAAGTTGGCATCTGGAAGGGGTAAGAGATAATGAATTAATTCAAGTTTTAATTATTTTAAGGGTAAAAAGTTATTCATATTTTAAGTGTTCTTACTCAGCGGCACCGCTATGCCGTAATGCTTTTCTCCAAAACTCTCTCCAATCTGGGTGAGCTCACAATTTCGCTGCACATAGTACTGCAAATTGGTGGTTTCCATCAGGAAGGCGTAGGTGCCTCGGCTTAGCTTCACACGATCCACACCCTCCTCATTGTTTTTGGTAAAGGCGTCCGGCTTAAAGGACAACATTTTGTTCCAGGCCATTCGATTCTCTGTGTCATTGGACTCTGAGAAGTACACGGAGGTGGCTCCTCCGCGGATTGTGCCAAACTGTACTTTGTTTTGGTCAACAAGGTCGTGAAGAGAGCCTATGTTGCCGGCGATTTTTGAAGAGGTGATAAAAGCCGCCAGCTTGGCTATGTAGGTCTGGGAGATGAGTAGGGCAAAGATCCACCAAAAGGCAGTGAGTAGACGCATGGGAAGGCCCCTTTAAAGATGTAAATAAACAAATTAAAATATATTAAATCCGCTTAACATTTAATTTTAAATATAATTTCCTTTTACCTAGGCAACAGATCACATCCTTGATTTAAAATCGAGCCCAACACAAGCCACATGGTGTTATGCAAATGCCAGGTATTTTCCCGCTCCATTTCCTGATTCTCATTCATCACCGGATGCTCCCACTCATATTGATCCATTCGACCCGTGAGAATCAGTGCCCATGCCGTTATCATCATGGCAATCATTACGTAGAGCCAGACCTCAACCCCATAGGGATTCAGAAAAGCATAGATATCTGCCTTTGGCGGTGGCTCCTTATACGAAAGAATGCTTATTCCCAGCTGCATAAAGGGAACAGTGAAGTCCACTACCGATCGACGGGCCTGGGTTATGGTCAAGTCACAGATGCCGATTTGTGCATTCTACAAATAAATTTTATTATTTTTTATTATTAAAAGAATAGAAGAATATTTTCTTCAAACTGAAATAAGACTTTATAATTTATGAATTAATACTCACATTATCTATCAACTGGCGAATAATACCATCCCATTCATCGGTGGCCGCATCATAACTTCCGTATTTATTATCCCTAACTGGTTCAAAGTTGAAATCAAATTTACATTCCTCGGCTAATTTGTAGATTAAATCCACGGCATAGCCCTCGAAACGCTCATTGCCCTCGTAGTGAACTCCTTCGGGTTCCTCACTGTAATAAAAATCACAATTAAACCTTTTGCTTAAAAAATAGTTTAAAAAACTAACCGCCAGCTAAAGTAGGGTTTACCCACACGAGTGGCCACTGTATAGCGCACAGGTTTCTGGGAGAAATCCTCTTTGTCCTCGAGACGCCTTTGCTTTACAGCCTGAGTTGAATTCTCCCTAATTTTCTCATAGTCCACCAGCTGAAAGTCCTTGTTCCAGATATGGGTGACACGATCGATGAGAGGATTATAAACCTCCAGGTTAAAGTCATCTCGCTGGCCGTCAGCATTTATCTGGAGTCTCTGGGTCTTGAAGGGGGGTTTCACCAGCTTGGGGGAAACCTGAAATTAAGATTATATGATTAATAAATATTAATTTATTTATGAAAATGTTACAAACTTGCCATTTTCATCTGTTCTATGAGACGAGGTCCTGGCTGCCAAAAGCCACGACCGCAGCTAAACTGAGGTGTATAGAATCCTGGTCGCTGACTTATCTCAAGAAGGGCATTGTAGAACAGAACAACCGAGTCGTAAACAAGCTGAGTTCCCAGCGAGGCAAACTTTTGGAGGAATATTTAAATATAAAATATTAGTTTGAACATTAGATATCAAGGTCATACCCTAGTATCCACTTCGTTGTCAAAAACATCAATCTCATCGTGAACTGGCGGAGGAATATAGGTTCGTATCCTAACAGCTGCCACAGACACAGTGAACTCCCGCGAATAAAAACGATCTATGCCAGAGACATGCGTATCCAGGTTGGTTAAGAAGAGGTTCTGTTTGAAAATATTAGGGAAATATATGATTAAGATCAGGCAATACATTTTTATGTTAGAATTTTCTCGATTACAATAGTTTAAAAGAGTTTTAAATTCCAGAAGTATTGTCATTTTCAGCTTAAAACACCGATTGAATAGCGTAGAAGCTTTATAATTTAAATATAAATAATTTAAATAATAATTTAAATATAAATATTATTTCAGCTTACTCACATTAAATGATCCAGTCATATTAAATGCAATCGAAGCATTGATCACATCCACCAAAATATCGGATGGACAATCAAGGAGAACAAACTTCTCACGGGCATTGTTAATGCGCTTCCAAAGAACCCTGTAATCACCTCCACGCTCAAACTCCTGCATCTTGATACCCGTTTTATGTAATTGCTTCCAGGCTAATATGTGCTGAAGACGGCTAAAATCTGGATAAGGAATGGGATCAAAGCGGATCGGTCGGGATATAATGAAAAAAGTCCAATAAATTTATAAGGCATGCGATTTAGGTGAAGGTCTATGTGGTACCAATTTTGTGAAATAAGGTAGTGTTATAGAATATTAATAAAGGCAGAAAACAAATTAATATATAATTAATATAGATAAAATATCGAATAATAATAATAATTTAAAGAAAAAATAAAAGTTTACTTTAGTTTTATATATAATTTTAATTATTTACTAATTTACTAATACATACGTGCATTTTTCTCATAGGCAATGGTAAAGGACTTCCAGTCGAAGCTCTTGCTGCCCAGTATATCAGACAGGGCATTCGACAGGATCAGTTCCATGGGGGCCACATTCACAGTCAGCTGATGGTTCAAGCGCACCCTGGCCGACTGCTGGGGATGCCAATCGAACTGCAGGTGGGGTATGCCCGTCATGTTGCACAGCACCTCCACGATATCTGCCAAAGATCAGGTGGGTTTTAGTGAGAGCAAGAGATAAATCATTAGACCGAATATTTTTTTGTTTAGAATGAACCGGGGAACTAACAAAACACACAACGAAAGTGGCGATCAAAACACAAAGAGCGCCAGAGAAAACAAATGTTTTTTGGGGAATTTTTTCTTGGCACCCATTCAAATATTCCCCAACCACCGATACGTTTACTGCAAAAATTGTGTGGATCCAAGCGAGCAGCTAGCCCAATTTAATGGCCAACATGTGTGTAAATGTGTTTGGCTATTTTGAAGAATCATTAACGAGGTTGACGAGCCTTTAGAAGATCTCCCAAAATCTACTCTCTCTCTCTCTCTGTTTGTCTTATCTATTCAGATTTTTATGCATATATCTATGTATATGCATTGAGGCATTATTTTTTGACGCCAGAGCATATGATTTGTTTAAAAATAATTTAACTACGGCCAGACAAAGAAGAAAAGAGGCCAACTTACCGCTGTTTGTCTTTGAACTTGGTCCAAAAATAGCAGCCACACCATTTCCAATCAAGTCACAGGCTAAAGCAGGGTAATCACATTGTCTAAATAAGTACAAAATTAATCTAATGAGGAATTATTAAAGACTCACAGAGATCTTGCAACACTATGCTGTCATCGATGGTCAGATAGTGTTTGATGGGCTCTAGTCTCAGGGCTGGATTCACGGCATTCACCTCCTGAATAGCAGAATCAAAGGCTTCGGCCAACTTCATTTCCGTGTCAAAGAAAATGGCCCCTAAAAAAATTTAATATATAAAAATCTGAAAAGCTAATTGATAAACCTATCAACCAACCAATTTTCACAACTAAGCCATCTTCGCTGGCTTGACTGGACAATATCAGAGTCACAAGCACTAGGAACTGTCGTAGAATGGACATGGTGTCACCTAGATCTGGGCATAATTTCAAATCAATATATACTGCGATTTCGAATTCACTTTAGACACCAGCACTCAATCCATCTATACAGAAAATTATTAGAATTTTTTTGCGAAAAAAACAAACTCAACCGGGATCCGCACCGGGGCACTGCTCGCGAGGCACTGAGAATGGCCCCACGGAAAGCCAAAACTCACAGAATTTTTGGAAGCAATGCCGTGACCGATCTCTGGGAGACTACGTCAGCGAAGACCTATAGAAGAGCAGCCACCGCACATGACCAGAGTCTAGACCAAGCAGACACATGCATGAGCTCTAGCTGGAAATGGCCCAATAAATGAAAACTAAATGTGCTCTAAAATTAGGCAAGCCGGACGCCCCCACAACTGGGTAAGTAGGGTACATCAAGGCACTGGGTGAGTGTTTCGAAGAAAATATACCCTGACTCATAAAAAGAATTATTAAATAATAAAAAAATATATAAATTTATATATATACCGATTACATTTTGTTTTTATTGAAATTTTAGCAGCAAACTTCGTAGGGGAGTGTTTATTACTATTACCCTCCATCATTTCCAATTTTTCTATTTATTTTATATATTTTATATTTTGTAAATATATTATTTATTTCTATTTATAATAAATAGAATCTAAGAATCGAGGATTAAAAAAAAAAACAAATAAATTTGGGATCATATTCCTTTAACAATTTTTTAAGAATACTTTATTTAATCATTCCCAAACTTAAAGAGTAGTCCAATCTACCACCTTGCACCCTCTAAGTAAGTGGTCTAAAAACTCTATAAATATAGCCCAAACTATATATATATACATCTGTATATATTTATGAAAAATATCAAACGCAACATGGATTGCCCAAGTTGTTTCAGAAGACACATTATTTAACTAGCTGCACAAATGCTTTAAATTAGCTCCAAAAATCTCAAAACAACAATATTTCCAGAGCTCCTAACTGGCCGTTTTGCTGCGGGTCTTCTCCTTGGAGCTACGCCTAGAACCCGAGGACCGTCTTGACGAGGATTTGTCACTGCTGCTGGAGATCCTCATCGGTTTTTTGCGCACCCAAAACTTTAAAGCAAAAGCGAGTTCCGCTTTCAAAGCCTGCCAAGGGGTCACACGCTCCTCCACCGCCACGTGCTGCACGTTCCAGAGGAACTCAAAGATGCCCAGGACAACGCCAGTGAGGACTCCGCCAGCCAGGACAAGAAAGACACCGCCCAGCTCAATGATGGACAGCTCATCGCCATCCACCTCATGGAAGGAGTCGCAGGTAACATTGTGCTTTTTCCACCACTTGTTCTTCATCTTGTACAGCTCTCCCTTCTCGCTCAGCTGGAGAATGGATACACTGAGATTGGTCCGATAGTCGGCCCCTAAATGGAATGGAAATAGACTTCCTGTTAGATTTCCTTAGCTTCCAAGCTTTGCTGCGTAGACTCACCCAATGGCACTGCCAGGCCGTAATGCTTCTCACCGATCTGCTCACCAATCTGGGTTAGGTCACAGTTTCTTTCAATATTATACGTCAGACTGGTGGTCTCCATAAGGAAGGCATAGTCGCCCTTCTCCTTGCGCACTCGGGCCACGCCCTCCTTGTTGGTGCTGGTGAAGGCGGAGGGATTAAAGTCCTTCATTTGGTTCCAAGCACGCTGGTAGTCGGTGTCATTGGACTCGGAGAAGAAGAGCGAAGTGCTGCCGCCGCGCATACTGCCAAAGCTCACCTCGTCCTGTTCGATGAGGTCCTGGAGGCTCTTGATGCTGCTCTGCCACTTGTTGCTGGTCAAAAAGGCAGCCAAGTTGGCAGTGTAAGTACTAAGCATCATTAAAGCGAAGAACCACCACATTCCGGTAAGGATACGCATATGAGGACCTCTGGGAAAGGGGAAGATAGGGTTATTTTTTACGGTTAAGAAGTCTTAAGCCTTATACCCACCTTGGAAGTATATCGCAACCCTGTTGCATAATGGAGCCCACCATCAACCAAGTCGAGTTGTTCACATTCCAGATATTCTCCAGCTCATCAGGGTCCTGAATAGCTGGATTCGGAGGCAACCACTCGCGATAGGAAAGTCTAGAAATTAACCTTTAAAAATCGAGTCACCTAAATTAATCTAAGTTAATTCTTTACCTGGCGATAAACACAAAGGCCAGGGTCATCACAAGCTGGGCAAAGATCATGTAAATCCAGACCTCCAGGGCAAAGGGTTCCAAGAAGGCAAACTGATTCTTTGGCTCCGGAGGTTTCTTGTAGTGAAGAATACTAATGCCCAGCTGCATAAAGGGCACCGTGAAGTCCACGACAGATCTTCGCAATTGAGTGATGGTCAAATCACAGACGCCTATCTGAGCATGCTGGAAGATCAGGAATATGGAATTAGATATTTATGAGGATTACCTAGTGGTAGGTTCACTTTACATGATCAATCAGTTTGCGAATAATGCCGTCCCACTGCTTGGTCTCGGGATTATATTTGCCATTGCCATTGACGATCATGAACTCGTAGTCAAACTCCATTAGCTCGGACAGCTTACTTATGAGATCCACGGCATAGCCCTCATACTTCTCCCGGCCTCTGAAGTTCTCATGGTCCTCTCTAGCGAAAAAAGGTATAAATTGCAGTCTTAATTTTAGACTTTAGTTTGTAATTAACTTACTTCATCATAAAATAGGGCTCTTCAAAGTGCGTGACCACCGTGTAGACCTTGCGCTGCTCTGAAAAGTCCTGCGTTGTGCCAGAACTCTCCAGTTCCAGGTTGAGGCGTCGGGTTTTAATACCATTGTCTGGGGTCCACACCATCATGGGCTCATTAACGGTGGGCTTGTAGATCTCCAGATTGAAATGAGTGCGCTGTCCATTCTCATTGATCTTCATGTTCTCCGTCTTGAAATTCGGCTCTACATCATCCTCCGAAATGGTCTTCATTTCGTTGACAATAAAGGGTCCCAGCATCCAGGGACTGGGACTGCCACAATGCCTATTGGGCGGATGATACGGTTGCATGGCTGCAATCACATTTCTGGCTGAGCTGGCAAAAAGCACCACAGCATCGTAGATGAGAACGGGCAGCATGGTTTGGTTTTTAAGAATTTGCTGAAAGATATTTGAAATAAAACTAAAAATTCTAATTTCTTTTATCTTTACTTACATCCACCATGCTTATGCGGGTCTTCTTTCTCTCAAAGGGATTCGGATCCACTAATTTCATTCGCACTGAGGTAATATTGGCCTTAAAGTCTGAATTATAAATGTCCTTCAGTCCCGAACTGTGCGTATCCAGATGCGTAAGAAACCAGTTCTTTAAGTTGATAGAATTTTATTTGTGAGTTCTTGATTGTGGTTTCTCTCTAAACTTACTCTAAAAGGTCCCTGCAGCTTAAAGTCCATGGATATCCTGAGTAACTCCTTTAAGGTTTTTGGCTCACAGTCCAAAATTATGCGCTGCTCATGGAAGGTCTCATCGGCTTCTTTCCAAAGAACTCTATAATCCTCTGCATAATCAGCCAAATTTCTTAGCTTTACATAGTCACTATTGAGAGCCTGTATATTCATAAGATCTTGAAGACGAGCCAGACCTAAGTTATAAGATATGATTTAAAAAAATAAATTAAATAAATTATTAAAGTGCTTATTGATCTTTGTTAGTGTATATTTAGTAGCTTTTGAAGTAATAATCTAGCAAGTAAAAAAATAGATCCTAAATCTGTCACTCACCCTCTGGCGTCTCATAGATCAGGGTGAAGGTGCGCCACTCGTAGTTGGTCTTGATGATCTCGAAGTAAGCTCGCGACAGGACGGACAGGGAGGGTGCCACGCTGACGGACATCTGGTGGTTGAGCTGCTCCTGCCGCGTGGCCTCCAGCTTCAAATCGTACTCTATGTGTGGAATGCCGGTCGTGTTGGCGATTTGCGCAACAATATCTGCGATAAAAAAATTATTTGTCTGTAGCCTTACACATTCTCTCTCTGTGTGTGAATGTGTGTTTGCGCGTACCACTAGCCGCCTTTGAACTTGGTCCGAAAATAGCCGCAACGCCATTGGAAATCAGTTCACAAGCTACACGGAAGATGAATTTCTCATCAATATGTTATATGTTCTCCCCGATCCGCGCTCACTCACTAATCTGCTGCAGTAGAAAACTGTCGTTGGTGGGCATATACCGCTTGATGGTGACGAATCGCAGTTCGGCAAACTTCAGGTTGTTGACCTCACGAAATGCCTGATCGAAGCTGAGTTCGATTTCCTTTTCATTTTCATAGAAAATGGCACCTTAATGGAGGGGATGACAAAACTATTAAGCAAAGTAGTTAGGCCTGATGGATGGAGGACATACCCACGGTGATTTCATTGCGACCATCGCCGCCAAGGGCGAGAATCGTTTTCAGAAATACAATTGTGAATGCATAAATGTGAGCTGGACACAAATGCATTTTTCTAGCCTCCAAATTCTCCTGTTTACCTCAAGACACTCGAAAACTAATTGAATTTTCTAAATGCAGCGGCCATTTCGTTTTCACTTCCCATCTACATATGTACAAATCTATATATCCGCCGGCGCACAAGCACACAAACGCGCACCAGAAAATCACGTCTAGTCCAAAAGTAAAGCACTTTTCACGATTTATTTTCTCGCGACGGCAGCATCCAGTCTTGGAGCGCTTTGCAGGCCAACTGACAGGGTCTGTGGCCGTCTGTGAGTGGCATCGGGGGATCTCTCTCTTACTCTGTCTTTCCAGTTTTTGGGAGAATTTGTGTTTGTCGTTCAGCCCACGCTGCGTATACGCGATGCTCTGTAGAGAGACTGTGTTTTTTATGGCGCTTGTCGGTGACGTAGTCGGCATCAGCCAGTCTGGTCTGGCCCCTGGCGATTATTTTCCTTGTCAGCAGCTCTTGGCGATTGTGTGCCAAATATTATGATGTTCGTAATATTGTTTGGTTTTGGCCAGCTTTTTGATCTCTCAAAAAGGCTTTTTAATGTATTTAAGTGTGTCTAAGGGGGTCTTCTCATTGGGCAACTTTTTTTTTCGATTTTTTTGTTTTTGCATTTATTTATAGCTTGGGATGGTGTGTATAAGTCCCCAAAAGGATTTTTAGAAATTCGAAATACTTTAGAAGATACAGCCTTTTTTGTGAAGCAAGTTCTTCGCAAAATGAGCTTTTTTCAAACTTCAAACGCGTTTATCTCGAAACCACGTTTTTCGAACTGGCGGCCATGATATCTCCAGTTCAACTGAACCGATTTTCATGAAACAAAGTGGAGTCGACGCAGAATTGTCACCATTCTCGGGTGACGGAACAGATTTTTTTTAAAATTTTTTTTCTATTTTTTTTTTACACTAAACTACAAAAAAAAAGCCCGAAATCGAAATTTTTTTTTGAATGGCCGCCATTTTGTTTAAACAAATTTTAAAAAAATCTGTTCCGTCACCCGAAAATGACATCAATTCTGATTATAACCCCGTTTTTATTTTTCATTTCGGACGCTCTGGAGACCCTGAATCGTGGCCGCCAGGACGACACCTTTTTTTTCGACCACCAAGTTTGAAGTCTCATTACTCTTTGAACAACCCTCGTATCGAGGCAAGAACAACTTTTTTAGTTACTTTGAACATTTTTGAATACAATAATTAAAAAAAGTTTTCAATTATTCTTTGCGTTTTCAAATAAGAATTTTTTTAAAAAGGGTCCAAAAAACGGCTTTTGAATGAGAAGACCCCCTTAAAGGAATGAAAGGTGAGTTTTCAGGAAGAATTAAGATTGAAACGAAAATTCAAAAAAATATATAGAAATTACATATAAATGTTAATATAAATTTAGTAAAAAAAAGAATTTACTTTTTGGAAATTTGTATAAGATTTTTAGCAAATTATCACAATATAAACAGATAAGAGAGAATCAACTTAATACCCTTTCTAATAAATAAATACATTATGTTTCATTAATGTATATATTTAATTTTAAATGTCCTAGAATACAGTTTATAATTCAATCACAATTTTCGGCGAATACGATGATCGTAGATGACAGCTGACCCATGCATTGGTGACTCTATAAAAAGGCATGATGGATGATCCTCGGTGATTTTTTTTTCAATATAGATCATTGCTCCATCGCCTTTGAACGAGAAACACAGGCCCCGCACAGGGTCCGGGATTACCTTATAGTTATCGGTATCGTTGTAGAAGACCCTGCCATTCTTCCAGGCGATAAAACTTAGATCCTGACTGTTCGGCTGAAGTCGTCGGTTGCCAGCCAAAATATTCGACCATGAATGAGATGTGGGATCGCCTTCCCTGAACCGGCGTATGCTTTGCTCCAAATCTATGTAGCCAGACACATTGAAGCCCTTTGAATCGCGAGTGCTAATGAAAACAATGGTCTAACAGGAATGATTAAATATCAATTTGATAAATAATATAAATAATAATCACCGATATAATTTTTGTGGCATTCTGATTCTTGCGCTCCCCCAGAGCCAGGGTCAAGGGATCATTGGCAATAGAGTAAATTTCATTCAAATGAAAGTTTTTACTTTCGGGACCTTTTAGGCTCAGCTTGAACTTGGAAGGCGAGAGGACCACCTCACCCACCTGGGTCCTTAGTGGGACCAGGCGATGCCTTATCTTTCCGACTGGCAAATATCGCAAATCCTTTGGCTTGATAAAAGTATTCAAATAGTCGGAGTAGGCACTTGTAAACATTTTATATTCTTCCTGCCTTTTCTTCTTGAATAATTTATATACCACGAGTCTCATGCTTGGAGTTTTATCCCTAACATCCTTCTTCCAGTTGGGTTCCATTAAAGTAACCATCCTAAAAACAACATTGTTTATATAAGAACTTTTAGCAAGGACTTCTTACCTTCTTCGATGGCAAAAGAAAAGCGAAATTCGAAATAGTTTTCTAAATAGTTAATATATTTCAAATACTATATAAATGTGTCTCTAGGTTTTTGAAACGAAAACAAAATGTGACAGAACGAAATGTGAATTAAAATTAAAATAAAAATTACTTTTGTTCAGTAATATTCACACGGCACACTCACAGTCACACATTCTGGGCTAATTTCCCAGGGAAATTACAAAAAACAGACTACCACTTTTGGGCTGAAGTCTAGCCTCTCACACACACACACATGGCCGGAACGAGCCCTCAGGGCAAGAGCCTGGACTTCAGCGTGTTGGAATACGACAACTACAATGACTACATCCTCTCTTTCGGCACCGTCAAGGACAATCGGTATCTGGGCAATCGGAATACAACAACGATCATCGTCCAGCTGGGCTACCGCACCACCAAGATTCCCTACACACAGGAGGAGTATCGCAAGCGGGTGGACATTGCCTTGGAGGCCATCAGGCCCAAAGCCCTACATTCTGGCTTGTTCGGGGATGGCTTGTCACCGACGAGCACGGATCCAGTGCTGCTAGGCTTTAAGTCGCGCGAGTTGCTTAACCTCAACAAGATTATTTCGGTGAGCACAAAAATATTTTTAAAATACTGCATACTTTTGGCTGTCTTTTAAAATGTATTTTTATTTAATTGTTGTTGTTTTAATTGTATTCTTTCCTAGACAATTGCCTTCACCTCTTACATCAGCACCGACGGATCGGAAATCTCCGGCTACATCGACCTGGACATGAGCTGGCGCAACTGCATCCGCCAGGCTTTAAAGCACACAGATTGGACCGCCGTCTTTGCGGGTCGCTCCCGTCTGAAGCCCATGCCACACCATCTGAGCTACTCGAATCCCAGGTACAACATGGTCAGGTACACTGACAGCGACAACTTTCTGGTGGTGCATCACCACCGCTTTGGGCTGATGTTCATGCATCGCGGTGACCACAAGATGATCACAGTGGGCGGCCAAACCAACTTATACACGGGTAATGCCAAGCGATCGATGGTCTACTCACCAAAGTTTGGATACGTGGTGTTTTACGATCACGTTGTTCGCAAGAAGGTATAGTCCTATTCGGTGTCATCTTCTAAATTTCGTGTATATAATGTCAGGTATATTAAAGTAAAGATAATGTATGTACTTTGATTGTTAATTAATTGATTTAATAGAGGGTAAGCTGTCAGATTTCATTTTATTTCAGTTAAATAAGTGCATAGGCAAATGAGGAACTTTATTCATATCAAAATAAGCCAGATTAGAGAACTATTATTGTTTTATTATTAGTATTATTCCTATAAAATGAATACAAAATAACAATTTCACTCTAACCAAACCTAAATAACATTTCTAAAATAGTAAATAATTAACACACTTTAACAAATGTTAGCTAAAATGTTTGTCCCACTTATATTTATGTTTAAAAATATCATAATTTTGTTTTCAAGTGGGCAGTGCCTTTTTATTTATTATAAAACAAGCTAAAAATGTCCGGAAGAAGTTGACTTATTTTACGACCATTTTAATTTGAAGTTTATAGCACGCGCCATAAAAAAAAACCCATTAATCATAATGGAGGACAACATTTAGCTGGCATCCATCCAAGTGGAAACGGATCTTTGCTCTGCATTGCTCTCCGAATTTTGAAATTTGTTTAGATTCTAAAATTGTTTAGAATACGCTGAGCAAAACAAAAGCCAATTTATGCTCATTTTCGCTGGCTCTTGTGCTCGTGCTTTTAAAATTAGCATAGCTGCCGATTCTCTGCTCTGATTTCATTGCATCGCAGACCTCCGAACAACGCAGTTGCAGATTGTCGCAAAAATTTATTGTCTGCAAGATTTACATCATCAGTGAAAATCAGCAGAAATCAACAGAAATCAAAGGATTTACTTCAATGGAAATCTGCGGGCTGTAGTATACAAAATGTATACAGTATTCGTACACATCCTGTTGATGGCAATACCCGTAGTGGCAGACCGAAATCAGTTCATGGTGGGTAAGTTTCATCTGAAAATAGGTCAAACTGCTGCCTTTTGAATACGAGTCTTGCACATTTTCTAGGCAGCATTTTTACATCGGACAAAGATGAATCGGAAATCGCATTCCGCACTGCAGTGGACCGAGCAAACATATTGGAGCGCAGCATAGAGCTGGTGCCCATTGTGATGTACGCCAATACGGATGACAGTTTCATAATGGAAAAAATGGGTAAGAACTTATGGGATATTGGGTACAGTCCATTGACCTAGTTTTCTAGAAAGAATTTCTGTATTTTCATATTTATAAAAAACCTTCCTTTACAGTTTGCAATTTGATTTCACAAGGAGTAATTGCCATTTTTGGACCTAGTACTGGCAGCAGCTCGGGCAAGTCTAGAAAATAATCTCTTAAACTACACCAAAATTATAATATTTCTTTATTTGTTTTTCAGATATAATTGCTTCAATATGCGATACCTTGGATATACCTCATATTGTATACGATTGGATACCCAATGAGTCTATACCGGATAGAGAACACTCCACCATGACGCTGAATGTTCATCCGGATAACCTCTTATTGTCTCAAGGATTTGCTGAATTAGTGCAGAGCTTTGGTTGGCGGAGTTTCACAGTTGTCTACGAGACCGATAGGGGTTAGTATACTATTAAAGAGTAAATATATTTATTTTTAGATATTTTATGACATTTTCAGAGCTTCAACAGCTGCAGGATATCTTGCAAATCGGTGAGCCTAGCAGCAATCCCACAACGGTTAAGCAACTAGGACCGGATGACGATCACCGACCTTTCTTAAAGGAAATTAAACTCTCCACGGACAACTGCTTGATCCTGCATTGCTCTCCGGATAATCTATTGCCCATATTGCAGCAAGCCAATGAGCTAAAAATGTTGGGGGAATATCAGGTCTGAAATTCTATATATATTACTAAAAAATATTATAATAATTAGAATTATTTAAGAGCGTCTTTATCCCCCTACTCGATACCCATACCATTGAGTTTGGAGATCTGTCTGGTGTTGAGGCCAACATTACCACAGTTCGTCTTATGGATCCCACGGACTTTCATATCAAAAATGTGGTCCATGACTGGGAGGAGCGTGAAAAACGCGAGGGACGTTACTATAAAGTGGAGCCCGAGCGGGTGAAAACGCAGATGATTCTAATCAACGATGCTGTATGGCTCTTTTCAAAGGGTCTCACTGAGCTGGGAATTTTCGAGGAACTTGCTGCGCCGGAACTGGAGTGCAGGCGGAAAAAGCCCTGGCCCTTTGGCAAGCGCATCATAGAGTTTATGAAGGCGGTGAGTTTAGTTTAAAATAATAAAACAATACATTTAAATTCAGATTCAATTGGACTAACAAGTATTTTTGTTTTCAGCGCTCGGAGGAGACTGCCACGGGCAGGATAGACTTTAACGAGAATGGCCAAAGGAGCTTTTTCACCTTACGCTTCATGGAACTGAATGCTGGTGGCTTCCTGGACCTGGCCACCTGGGATCCGGTAAACGGTCTAGATATACTCAATGATGACGAGGAGAGCGAGAAGAGAGTGGGCCAAAAGCTGTCAAATAAAACCTTTATTGTGTCCTCTCGACTGGGAGCACCATTCCTCACATTGCGGGAGGCCGAGGAGGGAGAAATCCTTTCGGGCAACTCCCGTTATGAGGGCTACTCCATTGACCTCATCGATGCCATTGCCAAAATGCTAAACTTTAAGTACGAATTCCGTATGTCACCCGATGGCAAGTACGGGGCTCTAAACCCGGTGACCCAGACATGGGATGGCATCGTGAAGCAACTGATTGATGGGGTAAAATTCCTTAATTTTAACTTAATTTTAAATACTTTAACATATTTTTTACTTCCCTCTTTAGAATGCTGACCTAGGCATCTGCGATTTGACTATGACATCTTCACGCCGCCAGGCTGTGGACTTTACGCCGCCTTTCATGACCCTGGGCATTAGTATTCTGTTCTCCAAGCCACCCACTCCACCCACGGATCTGTTCTCCTTCCTGTCTCCCTTCTCGCTGGATGTGTGGATCTACATGGGTTCGGCATATTTGTTTATATCCCTGCTGCTCTTTGCCCTGGCTCGAATGGCGCCCGACGACTGGGAGAATCCGCATCCATGCAAGGAGCCCGAGGAGGTGGAGAACATATGGTCCATAATGAACACCACATGGCTATCCATTGGGTCATTGATGGGACAAGGCTGCGACATCTTACCAAAGTAAGTAGGAATTTGGAAAAATTAAAAAGAAAATATTTAAAAAATATATATAAACCATTCCCCTCTAGGGCCGCCTCCACAAGATTGGTCACTGGAATGTGGTGGTTCTTTGCTCTGATGATGCTAAACTCCTACACGGCCAATTTGGCCGCCTTTCTTACCAATTCCCGCCAGGGAAACTCCATCAATAATGCTGAGGATCTGGCGGCTCAGAGCAAAATTAAATATGGAGTTATGACCGGTGGCTCCACCATGGGCTTCTTCCGGGATTCAAACTTCAGTACATATCAAAAGATGTGGACGGCCATGCAGAGTGCCAGTCCCTCGGTGTTCACCAAGACCAACGACGAGGGTGTAGAGCGGGTGCAAAAGGGAAAGAATCTGTATGCTTTTCTGATGGAGTCCACCACGCTGGAGTATAATGTCGAGCGAAAATGTGATCTGGTGCAGATCGGAGGATTGCTGGATTATAAGAGTTATGGCATTGCCATGCCTTTTAGTGAGTATTAACGAGCTTAAAAAAAACTTAAACTAAATTATGGGAAACATAATTAACTACCCATCCCGTTAGACTCTCCATACCGCAAGCAGATCAGCGGAGCTGTGCTCAAGCTGGGCGAACTGGGCCAGTTGGCGGAACTGAAGCGGAAATGGTGGAAGGAGATGCACGGCGGAGGCAGCTGCGAGAAGAGTGACGAGGAAGGCGGAGACACGCCTGAGCTTGGACTGGAGAATGTGGGCGGAGTCTTCCTAGTGCTGGGTCTCGGTTTGCTCTCGGCCATGGTGCTTGGTTGCTCCGAATTTCTGTGGAATGTCAAGTCTGTGGCTATTGATGAGAAGGTAAATTTAGAAAATTTAAATAATTATAAATATATAACCCACTTTCCCTCAGATTTCACTCAAAGAAGCCTTTAAATCAGAGGCTCTTTTTGCGGCCAGCATATGGATTACCACTAAGCCTGTGCATACCAGCTCCGGTTCGGGCGGCTCATCTTCAGCCGGTTCCAGCTCCTCATCAAAGTCCAAAAAATCCAGATCAAGTCACTCCAAGCATTCCTCGAAATCCCAGGGTCTGTCTATGAAGAGTCTCAAGAGTTCAGCGGATCACGATGTAGAGGCCTCAGTGCACAATAAATTAAAGAAAATCGGTTCCATGTTCTCGCTGAAATCACAAAAGACCACCACTCCGCCACCTCAGCCGCCGCCGATAGGATGGAAAGTGGACAAGTCCACACAGATGGAAGAAGAGGACCGACCTTCGGAAGAAGAACCTGAAGAAATCCCAGAGCCAGAGCCCGAGCCGGAGCAGCCGCACCACCGACATCATCACCATCATCATCATCGCCACCACCATCATCATCGCCATCAGCCGGAGGAGGATTCATCGCCCAACCAACGGATTAGCAAATTGAGTAATGGCGTTTGAGAAGAAGAGTTTTCTTATATCACTTTATCAGCTACAATTTCTAACATGTCAAGCCCTATAATACGTAAAGAATTAAGCATTTAATAGAAAATTTAAATATTTGATTTCAAAAATTGTTGCTCAGTGGTTGCCTTTTCAAAAAGATCAAAATATACATAAATGTTGACCAATAATAAAAGTCTATACATTTTTTCAAGGGTAAAAGAACACGGAATGTTTATCGAGAGAAAAAATTTTCATAAATATTCCTCTCGAAAAATTTTGGATATATCGAAAAGTATCAGAAAAATGGTATACAACATTTTGTATCTTTTTTCCAATGGTCTGATTAATTAAACAAAATATCGATTTTAAATAACGAATTAACTACATTTTTTTCACTCCTACTTGAAATGAATATCCAAAGGAAAAGAAAAAATATTTCCCACAATTAAGTATCGAAAATATCGAAATTTGAATTATTAAAGACAAATCGCTTTAAAGGTTAAGATATCGATATTATAAAATAAATATCCGAAACATTTTAAATAATTTATTTTCGCTTTTACTGATAATAATTAAATTATTTTGAATATTCATTACCAAGAATTAAAGTATAAACTAATGTAAAACTCAGCCGGAAACTGATGCGATTTATTATCGATATTTTTATCGATATTATAAAATAAATATCCGAAACATTTTAAATAATTTATTTTCGCTTATACTGATAATAATTAAATTATTTTAAATATATTTTAAATATTATAATATAATATATTACCAAGAATTAAAGTAAAGTAATGTAAAACTCAGCCGGAAACTGATGCGATTTATTTATAGTATCTATCGATTTGTTTATCGATTATCGCGTCATCTATCAGTTCTACATATATCGATCTTTACTGCAATCACCAACAAAGACACAAATAAAACAATGTTTCTGCTTACGGGGTTTTTAAATTTTTATTTGCTTTTATAGTTTTGTAATTTTTTTTTAGTTTTTTCTGTTTTTGTTTTTTTCGTTTTTTTTTCTTTTTCGTTTAATTAAATTAACTTATTTTGGGCATATATTGACATACATACATATACGATTAAAATTAATAAATCATATGCATATAAGTATTGCTTCGATATTTGTAAACATTTCACTTGAATACTTAGGATAATAGTTTAAATTATTCTGATCTTTTGTCACATTTTAAATATTTGTAATATTTATATGTTAGATTTATGTTTTTGCAAAGCTAATTGAATACGTTTGTTACACTTCTCTTCACATTAAGGTACAGTTTTTGTTGCTTATCCACTTAACTGGCTAACATTCTTTTTGGATTTTTGTTGAGCTTCTGTCGCACAATTTTTCTAGTCATCACCATCAGTATATAGATATTATATCTACGACTAATCCTATATATCATACAAAAATACAGAGCTAGAATAAGTGCATAAGAGAGAGTCTTTCTGAATTTGGACAAAAATAAATTAGCGGAATGAGAAAACTAAGAAAACTTTGCCAAAAATATTTTCACGCACATATATACAGAATTAGATGAAAATTAAATATAAATTAATACTTTTTTTTAGATTTTTTTGAGGAGTATTTTTACTGTCTTGTTAGAACTTAATTTACTTTTTTTTGAGGGCGATTTAAGAAAGGAATTTTCTAATATATTGCTAACCCGCCTGCTGTTTGTCTACAATGACCATATCCCTGTGGCTGCGGCGGCGTTGTCAATCCTTGGCAGCAATGGCCACTGGCGGAAATTGCCGCTCGTCGTACAGCTTCGTTGGAGTGTCGATGGCATCACAGAGCTTGCGAAATTTGGCAGAATCTGCAAATAAACATTATAAATGTGTCTTCACAATGAAAATGATGTAGGAAGTACTCACCAGACATGGCATCCGCCTGGTCACCACGCAGAATGCTCGCATAGCTGTTGTCCGGCATGGGATCCGGATTCTCGATGAGCACACTGGCCGCACAGCTCTTCAGCATGGTGAGCGAGGGCTGTGCCGTGGCATTTGTGGACTTTATCTGCGACCTCACAACGCTTTCGCTCAGCTGCAGCTCGATCACATCCTCCAGGGCGCCGCGCAGATCATGGACAGACAACAGCTTGCAGGCACCGCCCTTCTCCGCATTGAACTCGTGCACGTAGAGGAAACCATCCTCGCAGGCGATGAGCAGGCGCAGCTCCTTTTGGACGCGGGTCAAAGCGCAAATGTGCTTCAGGCCCGCCTGGGCTAGCTGCACTGTGGCAAAGGATCGATCCTGGGACAGAACTTCGCTGACATGCGAGGGCAGTAGGAGCGAGGACACCGCCTTGGAGAACATTCCGCCCCAGCTGGCAACTGGCGCGGGCGCACTGTTGACCTCCTCAGCAACTGGAGGCACACTCGCCGATTCCTTGGCCGCTTTATCTGACTTGGCAGCCACTTCCGCTGTAAAAAAGGAAATTAATAACTGCTAAACTCGACCCGAAATCAGCCAACTACTCACCGATGGCCTTCAGTTCGACCGACTCCACGGCCCGGGCATCAATCTTGAAGACGTGGACGGTTTCCGTGTTGGAGGAGGCGCAGAGAAAGTCGCCGCTGGCCGAGAAGACCAGCGAGGCAATGCGGACGCAGCTAACACCCCGCCGGAACTCCTGCACCCGCTGGCCATTCTTAACGCAAAACACTCGGATGACGGTGCCGCGCTCGGAGGCGGTGGCTAGCAGAGAGCCGCTGGGCGAGAAGGCCAATGCCGAGAGGGGCGTATCATGAGCCTTGATGGTCATTCCCGTGCGCAACTTGCTGGCGTTGAAGATGCGCAACTCGCCGCTGGTCTGGCACACGGGGAAGGCCAGGTGCGAGTTGAGGGACAAGGCACAGAGACCCTGCTCGTTGGGTGCTATATTCTCGATGGAGTGCAGGATTTTCATGTCGCGAATGTCGTGGATGTGTATGCTCTCCGCCAGGCACACAATCAGCCGCTGGCGATTCATCCGGACACACAGGATCTCCGAAGGATAGAAGCAGTTGCAAATGTCCTGCTTCTTCTTGAAGTGCAGCATCTTAAGGCAGTTGGGCTTCTGGGCGGTGACCAGCACCACCAGCGAGCTGTTGAACAGGCGCTCCACGATCCGGATTTGCTCGGTATTGTCCTTGGCAAAGATCTCCTCCACCTTGTCCTGGCCGGCTATCGAGTACAGGCGCAGGCCCGCGGGACTCAACACGGAAAGGGAACTGTAAGAAATTAGAAGAAAATATATAAGTAATTAATATATAATTCATATATTAAGGGAATTTTAATAGAAATTCTTATATATTTAAGCTGATTTATATTTAAAATTAATCATTTTCTTTAGGAAAATATATTGCTTTCATATTTAACCTTCTGACCTAACTCTTGACCTCTCTTCCACACCGCACAGAAAAAAACCAAGCAACCCAAGCAAAACAGTAGAAAATGTTTCATCAAACAACTACTTAATAGTCACTAATTAAATCTCATATTTATTATTCAATTAGCCCTCTCGGGCTTCCAAAAATTGCCGTAGCGGACGGTATTTCACGTCCCCATGGCGGGGTATTGGTTAAAGTTTTCAACTAGCAATAACCGCACCTCAGTAGAACTTCATCGGTTACGGTATTGCCACTGCGCAAAGATAACCTTTCGTTCGCCGGGGACCTTCACTCCATGCCGGCAGCGCCAGAACCAGTTGGGAATTGTATGCGCACACGCACGGAAAAATAAGTCAAGCAAACGACTTTCGTCTGCCGGCCAAAAGGTGCAGCATGCTTTTGGGCAGTTGTTGTTCTTGTAGTTCTGGAAAAAGGGGGTGGGAGGGAGTTGGGCTATTTTGGGTTTCAAGATTATTAAGGGCTGATTTCTGTTGCAGCCGGCAGCTGCATTTGGTCATTCTGAATGATGCATCAGGATTGCAAGGGTTTTTTTATGAGAATTGATTTAAATCAAATATAAGAATATGTTTTTTTGGGTTTTGTATTTAACATTCATATGTATGTATCTATTTATATATAAAATAGATAAACAACCACTTGTTGAGCACAAGCAACAGGTTATAAATAAATCAATAAAATGTGTACATTTTTGTTATTAATTAAAGACCGTCAAACTGATTCAATTATATGTGTATTTGGTTGTATTGCATTTTCTTCAAAAATATTGTTAAATTAGATATTTTTTAATGTTACCTCTTTGTTAAGGGAAAAGAAAGTACATTTTTTACCTATTTCTTTGTGGAAAAGTAAGTTAATTTTTATACCTATTTATTTGTGAAAAAAGGCTTCAAGATTTCCCTAAACCAAAAATATATTATTGAATATAAAAATATACATAAATATTAAATAAATTATTCATAAGTCTGTTTTAATTGCAAACAAGCTAAGATGCAAACTTTCTTTGTTATAATATTATTTTTATTAAATTAATTATTTTATAATTTTTAATTGTCATTAATGTATTGCATTTAAACCATGAAAATATATATATTTTATATTTTAAAGCCCTTTTAGATAAAAATAATTTTAAAAATAATAAATCCCTCCCAAAAATGGTTATCTTGGTTTTTTGTTAAAACAAAACTTGACTATTTCAATCAAAAACAAACAAAAACTATGTGTAATTTATTTTATTTGTGAAATTCCCTTAACTATTTTGAAGCTATTGCCTCCACATTTAGACTTATTTCCTACTAAAAGCAATCTTGAGATCAAGCTTTGAACATTTTCGATGCACTTTGTACTCGGTGCCTATGGCCACCCCTCAAAGAAGGTCGCTGGGCGAGAGCTGGGACTCGCCCTCCGCCAGGTAGATGTGCATGGCCTTAAAGAGCAACGCAATGCCCAGCTGCTTCTTTTGCTTCATCGTCCAGGACTGGGCGGGTCCATAGTAATCGCCACGCTTGAGATTCGTCAAGTGCGCCAGGCCCATGGCATCTATGATGGAAGCCTCGCGGGTGTACGCATCAATGGGCATGATGTTGTGGAAGACATGCAGGCAGACGACTCCACTGCCGTGCTGCCAGATTTCCAGGATGCGCTCCAGCTTCCTGCTGCCCATTTTGCCAGTAACAGGCGGAGGAGAGCGGAAGACTTCAGGCTGCAAAGTTCTGAATCCACCACCTCGGGCTCCAGTACCACCCGCCTTGGTCTTATCCTTGTCCCGTTGCTGGTGGAGCCGCGTGTGCTGTCTCATGGCATCGTAGAGATGAGCATAGGGCCGCGAGGACTTGCCCTTGCCCACGTAAAATATTGAGTCCAAGAACCGCTGCCACACCCCAAACTTGTCCAAGAAGGCACTTTCACCGGGCAAATTCCGCGAGATGCGCGGATCAATCAGCATGTAGATGAAACTCTGCTTGATGTGGCCCTCGCGCAGGTTCTTCTTCGGCAGACCCGACTTGGCGAAATGATCCGCGGAAGCTGCCTCATGTGGTAGGTAGTCGCTTATCCTGGCGAAATCCTCCGGCGAGCGCAACGTGCGATGCAACTCCACGGAGTAGCGTATCTGGGCCTCCACCGCATGCTTCTGGGCCGCCAGGAGAGCCTCCGTATTCCGCTTGTACTTGATCAGCTGCTTGATGTACAGCCGCTTTGTGGTCTTGGTAATGGGACCCACCGGAGCACCCAGCTGGGTCAGCTCCCGGCGCAGGGCATCCGTTTCGTAGTCCAGCGGCAGGGTGAGATTCGTGCTCACAGTGCTGTCCAGTTCTGGGGATTTCTCTACCAGTGGCCGCTTGGCGGGCTCCTGCTTTTCTGTATTCTGCAGAAACTTGGCCTCGTAGAAGACGAGGCCATTCTCATCGTCCGTGTGCACGTAGGCTTCCTTGATCTGCAGGAAATACTCATCCTGGCGGGGGGAGATTATCGATTCCGCTTCAACCTGCTCCAGCATCACCTCTTCCTCCTGCTCCTCACCCTGGGCTGTAAAGAAGCTATGCTCTGGCTCCGGGGCAACAACTACTGCCCGCGAGACTTGCTCTACCAGGTGCTCCAACACCTGGCGGCCCGAGCCTGGTGCCTCTTCCTGCTGATCCTTGGGCTTCTCCTCGCTGCGCAGTTTCTGCTGCAGATGCTGTTCATAGTTGAAGTCATCCTGGCCCATGGCCTCCTCCACCAGGGCCTCCACATGTTCGTCGTACTGGTGCAGCAGGGATTGGCGAGCCCGCGAGCGCTCCACCTTTTCGCGCCAGCTTTCGATAAGCGACCGCTGCTTGGGATAGTCGGGATCCTCGTGCGGGGCCGTCTCCCGCTGGCTCTGTATAAGCTGAGTAAGATGGGCCTCGGTCAGGGCAAAGAGATTAACAGACTCCTCGTCCGGCAATGGAGGTATACCACAGTCGTCTGGAAACTTGGGCTGCGGCCGATGCCGCCTGTGGGTGATGTTAATGTAGTAGGGTGACGTTGTGTCATGGTTATATTTCAGCTGGTTGGGGGTCAGACCGTCGCCGGGCTGCAGGTGTTGCCGCTGGCTCTTCAGTCGCTGTTTCTCGCGGAAAATGTGGTCCCGCAGCAGCTGCAGCACCTCAAAGTGGCACTCCTCGATGGCATAGTGAACCGGAAGCTTGTTCTCCTCATCAGCCAGATCGGCACGAGCTCCACGCTCCAGCAGCATTCTCACCAGCTCCTCGCGTCCATAGATGCTCGCAATGTGCAGGGCCGTGGTCTTGCCATCGCACAGCGAGTCCACGTCGAGGTCGGGGCACTCGAGGAAGCGTTCCAGGATGCGGCGAGCCAGCTCTCCGTTCCGCATCCCGCAAACGTAGTGCAACGGAGCCAGTCCCCGTTCGCAGGGCACGATGCCAGCGTTGATAGTATTCCGCTCCAGCATGGACATGATATCCGCTTCGTTCTCGTCCTCCAAGGCGTCCAGCAGGGTCAGTGCCAGGAAGTTAGCCCGCTGCTCCATCGCTGCTGCTCTGCAAATCGATTTTTCGCCATGCAATTCCGCGCTCTAATTGCAGAAATTAGTTGTTATTTCTTTTTTTAATTCTCGATTTTTCAATGTCAGCGCTTTTGTTGTTGTTTGGTATTTTCGCGAGTGTGGCCGTTCTTTCGGTATGCAGCTAAAGCGTTGCCAGACGTTTTAAGTCTGATGGGTACTTTTGAGCGCCACATTTGAAACCGGTTTTTATTATTTCAAGCAATTATCGCCGCATTCGGTTTTTGATTTTTGTTTTGGCACATAATTGGCCTGCAAAGCACGCCCAAAGCGATGAGCAGCCAGCATTATCACGCTCTGAGAGCGCAACACGTGTGGCTACAGCTACATATTTTGTAGTTTAAATGAATATTTTTTGCTCATGAAATCGAAACTAGTTTCCCGCCGCCGCAGACGTAGCCGTCGCTAAAATGGGGCCCAAGGTTACTCGGCCCCCTTGTTATGCGATAGCGCTTTGAGGTCTCCTCAGCTAGCTTTTGTTGTTGCCTTTGGAGGCTTTATTTTTGCGTGGTCTTTGGGGTTTGTTAGTAAACAAACGCAGTGATTAACAAAAAGAAAATAATAATAATATGACGCATAGAAATTGTTAACGATTCTGGTTATTATTTAAGGATGTGACCTCATGGAATGTAGTTTCTTAAATACGGGTAGTAAATTGATTATTATAGAAAATATTTTATATTTTCAGCAAGTAGAAATAGGATTTATAAACTTGATGCAAATAAATTTGGCAAAAAAAGCAATTACATTTATGAAATAATTATAGACAGTCTTGCAAATTTTTAATAGAATTTTAATTGTTAACCCAAGTAAACAAAAATATTATTTAGTTTGTTTTTCTGTTTTGTAATCGTAACTTTGTTTGTAAACAATCGCAGTTGTTAATTTCTTACAAGTGACGCATCGAAAATAAAAAAAATTATATATTTTCACGAAAGTCAAGAGTGCAATCCAGTTCGTTCCCATCGAAATATTACGCTGAATGAGCAATTGCAACTTAACAAGTAAATAAACAGCAAAGTCAAAAACAATGGTGATGAGCACAAAAAAAAAAAAAAAAGAAAACCTCGATCAAAATCGAAAATAATTATATCTTTGTTCCTTGAGATACAAAGATAGTTATTAGAAATATATTTTTACATATTTTCTTATCTCATTAAAATTTGTAAGCCAAAAAATTTAATTGAAAAATACCTCTTGCATGTAAAACATTTTTTTTAACTATACTATGCGTTTTTTATAGCCAGTGACTACTGTTCTACATTTCTGTATCGCGTGATTACAGTGCTGTAAAAATGTATATTTATTATTTAAAAAAGTACTATCATTCTGCATTTTTAGAACGGAACTAATAAACCCCCGCGTAGCAATTAACTTAAAGATAATATAAAAATAAGATGCATAACGGCAATACAATTTTTTTGCACTGCTGCCTCACGTGTATGCCCTGTTGTCTGACCAATTGAAAGCCCAGGCCCCCTCCGTCCGGGAGAGGTAGGCTCGAGCAAAAGTCAAAGGAAATGCCCCGTTTGATAATATTTGATTTGATTATTTTTGTTATGTTCGGCGTTCTGGCGTGCATTCACCTGGGCAGGCTAATTGATTTGTTTCTGATTAGAGAGCCTCCGTTTTTCCTATCTCTCTCCCCCTCCCTATAGCCTCTCTGCCAGAAGCTTCTTTGTTCTCTTTCGCTCCATGACGCGCATACATCAGCTGCCCATATTTATTGCAATCTATTTTTTTTCCTCCATTTTCGCCATAAGTGGAAATATTGATTATATTTGCTGGTATTTGCTTTCTTTCTTTTTCGTTATGGCTAGGTAGGGAGAGCGAGGGAGATAGCAGCTGTGCAGATGACACTTGCCCTGAAGTAACGGTACGCTAAGATTTGCATCTTTTTTTTTGTTACTGTTAATACGAGAAAATGACATCAGCTGAGCGAAAATAATCGAAACAGTGCATAAGCGAAACTGGTTAATTAAGCTTGAGATTTAAAGCTGTGTTTGTGAGTGTAAACAGTGGAGGTCACCTTTCTAGGGACTAATTATTTGTAGATTCACAATACTAAAATGTTTAATAAAAGAAAATAAAATTTTGAAATTGGTTTAAAAGCAAAATAAGAAAATATTTTCTAAGTAATTAAGTAATTATTTATGTGAGAAAGAAAGCAAAACAATACAACTCTATTTGCATACAATGCTATAATTTTGTCCGCAGTTTTATAAAGCTGTTTGCATTGGCGAATCGCTCTCGTCAGCTGTTGCGCATTATACACGCGAATGTGTGCCAGTTGTGCGTGTGTGGGTGCCTTCAAGACACTGGCCAACAAAGAGAGCAGACTCGAATGTTTGTTTGTGGGTGCAGCCAGTGTTGGTTAATAGTTAACCCATTTAGTTTCCTGTTGGACAGTGTATGCGGTTACCACCCCCCTCCCACCTATAAAAAAAATGTATTTCATAATAGATGTATGTATGCATGTCATTGTTATTGGAACTGCTTGTTTGCATGTTCTAATAAACTATATACACACATACAACAAATGACGCCAATTCACGCTCACCTAAACACACACACTGCCAAACATGTCAGACAGTTACAGTTGAGCTATTAACAAGACACCACCACCCCCTCCTTTCTCCCACCTCATCCTCAGCAGCTGTTTTCGCCTTGTTTATCCATCTAATTTGTGTCGATTTTTGTATCTCAATTGTTTCTTTTTTTTTCGCTCGGTTGACCTTCCTGGCTTGGAGCCCCAAGGATGCACGTATTTGTTGCTACTTACGTAAAGTCCTGGTTGAAGTTCAGCTGATATGTGGCCATGGTTGCTGGGGGTTTTCTCCGCCTTTGCTGATTTTAATCTCTATATCGCAGATACACTTTCACTGGCCTTTGGCTTGTTTTTGGGGCCCTATCTATTTTTTTCCGATGTATCTTATTGCACTTTTTCACCGTTCACAAAAAACACAGTACTACGCAGGCGGATGAGCAGAGCGAAAATGTTCGATTCGATTTCTGATAAATTAAATTCGTTTTGTTAGCGTCGGTCGTCTTTGTTGTTTTTCTGCGACTGTTTTTCTGTTTTCTCGTTCTATCTATCAACAAATTCCCCCTACTCCATATACACCAGTGTTGGCAAGTTAGCTAACTTCGGGCCAGATCTGGTATATTAGTATATAGCCTTAATTTAAACTTAATCAACCATATTCTAGTTATAATTGTATTCGTGACATTACCGATTTATTTTTTAAGAAATTTGATTTATTTTACTTTTGTTTTTCTTATCAAAATTATAAAAAATATAAATACATTCTATATTTACACACTTAAATCTTTGTTACCACATACTAAAAATATACCACAATCTAGTTCCTACCAAATATTGAGCTGCCAACTCGCTCTTAAAAGAACACCAAAGCGGAGTATTTTCAGGCAACGCGAAAACAGCCACACTGAAGGTCACAATAGAAAAATAAAGCCTTTTTCTTTTGTTTTAAACTACGATTTTTTAATGTAAAAACGCCTGTTCAGATACCACAAATATGCACAATCGTCCGCCCGCAGTGCTGTGCAAGCAGAGTGCTTAGAATTCGGACAAATGACGCGTGTTTTCAGTGCCAATTGTGCGGTGTTTTCAGTGTAGTATACAACTTTTTGTGTCTCTACGAAAATTTTCTCCCGTTCTCGGGGACGCATGAAAAATGGCGGCGTCCTCAGCTGCGGCTGCGGCGACCACAGTTCCGATTCCAAATCCAAACCACATCCCGCTACCCACGGAGGCAATCTCGGAGGAGTGCAAGGACGACGACGCCCTCAGCTCCACACTCCACACGTGCGCCAATGATCCGGACTTTGCGGTGATTTGTGCCTTCCTGCAGAAGTTCGCCAAGGACTTGGGCCTGAACTTGCCGAATTTCAAGCATTTGCAGGAGTGGCTGACCAACAACGATGAAGGTGGGTTCCGTGGGCAGGTTTGGACGCTCCTCTAGAGTGGAAAGTTTGTACTTAGCTGTAAAAATGGATTTATGGGGGGTTCACTTGTATAAATATTAAAGGCAGGGCAAAGATGAAAATCAGGGAAAATAGTGTTTTCAATTGGCTTGCCAGGTGAGAGAGAGAGGGGCTCTCTTTTGCCACTCTCCGAGAGCTCTCTCCGGATTGTTTGTGGTTGTAAGAGTGGGAGGAAAAGAGAGGAAGCTCGCAAAGAGCTGAATTATTTTTTTTGTTGTATTTTCAACAACACAAACAAAACAGTGGAATGTTTTATTTTTTTTTAGATCATGCATTTGGTGTAATACTATTAATTTTTAATGCACTACAAAAATAAATTCTAATATGAAGAAAATGTGAAAAATTAGTCTAGTTTTTATTAATATTTTATTTTCCTAATAAATTTAGTTTAATTAATAATTTTTTTTATTAATTATATTTTGGATCAGAATTTTTTTTTAACAATTAAAAAGAATGCTTATTATTATTATACTAACACAAATGTATTTAAATGTTAAAAAAAAAACATATTTCTTAATGAATAAATTAAATTTTTTAAATTTTGTCCTTGTTTAATATTCTAGGCCTGTAATATAAATAGAATTTTAGCATTAAAATAACTGCCTGCAATGGTTTATCATTTTTTATGTTATCCAAAAAATTATAAGTGATTTAATTCATTTACTTTCCCATCTTCGCAGTTGCCGAACTAAGAGACCTGCATATAAAACTACTGCGAAAGACCCGTAAGACGGTCCACGAGAAGAGCTGGGAGTCGGCCCTCAGCAAGTTCTGTTTCGGTTACTCAGTCCAGGATGCCTGGGAGATCGAGCGCTTTGGCTATAAGAACTCCAGCCTGAAAGTCAAGCTGCGTATATTTCGTGTAAGAATTAATACTTAACGTTTCATTACGCTTTAACTCACCATTCTCTTTTTCTCCAGGAACTCCTTGAGAGCCAGTTTGAGCGCAATGCCAAGTTCCGTGCCCACATCCTTACACTGAACGCAGACACTCTGCGATCGGAGCCCATTGGACGGGATCGACTAGGCCACGCCTACTGGCTCACCCAGGACGCCGACTGCAACCTGCGCATATACCAAGAGCATCTGGACGAGGAGATCTGGCAGGTGGTGGCCACAAACCGGGATGAGTTTGTCAATCTTATCGCCAGGCTGCGTGGCAACGAGGTGGTGCTGCCCTCCAAGGACATTGGTGAGGCCGACGAGGACACCAGTAGCAGCAACAGCTGTCCGGCCAAGCCACCGCCCCCAGTGGAAAGGGAGGAGGAAGAGGATGACGAGGAGGATGAAGAAGAGGAGCCACAACGAAAGGAGGAGGCACCGGAAGTCGTAAAAACAGTGCCCAATCTGAAGATTAAGCTACGTTCACCCGATCAGGAGGAGCAAAAGGCCAAAAGGGTTAAGGTGATTATCATTAGTAGAATTCTGTTTCAAGGGAACACCTAATGGGATCCTTTTCTGTTTTACAGCCCCTGCTTATCAGTCAGGCCAAGCTGGGAGGAAATTCGTCGCCGGCCCCGGCTAAAAAGCGTTCCATTGAGGACGTAGACAGCAGCCCCACCGCCGCAGCATCGCAGGAGGAGCAGCAAAAGAAACATCGTCCCACGCTGCTGGACACCAAGCGCATCAAGAAGCCCAGTCGTTACGAGAGCACCAAGGATGAAAACGAAGGTGAATCTGGCGAGGAAGAGGAAGAAGGCGACGAGGAGGAGGACTCGGAGTTGGATGAGGGCGAAGAGGAGGATGAGGAGGAGGACATAGACAGTGCAGCGGCTGACATTGAAGAGGACGATGATGATGAGGACGAAGAAGTGGGCGAAGCTGTCGAGGAACCAACTGTAGTGGTCCGCGGGGAAGGATCCGGACGCGAAAACGAGGCTATTCCAGACCACGATTTGCTGTCGAGTAACTTTAATTACGAGGACAATCTCGAGTTCAGTGAAATCATCGAGGATCCTGTTCTCTATGTCTCCAGTCAAGGCAGTGGCGCCGAGTGCCTGGTGGGTAATGGCCAGCACGAAGCCCCGGCGGAGGAAACCACTTCGACTCAGTCCGAGCCCAAGGCCACGTTCTTCTTCGGCGAGCCGGGATGCCTCAAGCTAAGCCCCATGAAGCAAAACCAAAAGCCAGAGGCAAAGCGCAGCATTTTCGACAGCCTGGGCGGTGAGGAGAAGACCAATGGGGACAGCCAAAACTCCAGGGAAGAGACTCCGCCGCGCAACGGCAGCGAGCTTAAGGAGATTCCATCGACTACTGAGGCTGCCGCTGAAGCTGAAGCTGCTGCACCCAGCGAACAGAACTCCGATGAACAGGTGGTTAACGAAACGACAATCTCAGAGGAAAAAGGGAGCGAAGCACCCAAGTCACCTGCAAATACAGATAAAGAGGAATCTAAGAACAATGTGATGGATAAGAATATGGAAATCTCCAATGCGACAGAAGCTAAAGAAGAGCTTGCCACGAACATCAAGGACGAATTTGTGCAAAGTAAATTAGAAAACGATGGACAATCATCACAAGCTTCACAGGTAAAAGGTTCTGAGGAGAAGGCAGTCCCCCTGGAATCTTTGAATCAAGAAACCGAGAAAGCAAATGGCCCAGTTCCAAACGAAAGCAAACTCACCGAGGAGGACACACCCTTAGAGGCCCATCAGGAGAAAGATGAATTTACCACAAGCAGGACTACCCTAAACAATGACAATTTTTCAATGGCAACAGAAGCAGTTAGGGAAAACCAAAATGTAAAGGAAATTGAAACCGAAAACGAAACTAAACCGGAAGCGGAAGCGGAAACGGTAGACAGCTCTGCAAAGGCTACCTGCAAATCTGAAAAGACTCTAGAGACAAAATTGGTGAAAGAATCAAGCGAAGATAGTATTAAGCCAGAAAAGACTACTGAAGGTGTGAAAAAAGAAAGTCAAGAGAGCTTAAAGCCAGAGTCTGTAGCTAATATTAATATAAATGAGCCAGAAAAGCCAGTAAATGAGCAAGAACCATTCTCCAAACTAGCTGCAGATCAGACTAAATCAATTTCTAGCAGCGTGGAAACTATAAAATCCACCGAGGAAGAAAAGAAAAATGTACAACACGAAGTGCCCAGTACTTCTCAAGGCAAAAATAAAACCGATAATACTGAGGCCATGGAGAAAAACGCTTCCAAACCGATCGAGGCTAAGCTTCCTCCTGCACCGCCCAACAGAAAACGTCGTCTAAATGACTGCCAGCCTGCTCCCAGGAACTCCACGTCCGAGAGCGAAATACAGGAAGAGGAGATCCAGTTGCAGGATAATGAAGATCCTCCTCTGGACGACCTGGATGTGGGCGGCAAACGCATAAAGATGCGCCCCAAAACATCCAATGTGGAGGTCCGGCGCAAAGTGGAGGCTCAGAAGACACAGATCGAGGAGACAACATCTTCCAGCGGAGAGGACGATCCGCGCAGTCGTCGTAAGATCATAGCCCCAAAGAGACACCTAGAAAAGACGACGCCACCAAAACAAAAGCCCACCCTGGCCGAAATTATTGAGAAGAAGCTGAAGAAGACACCGGAAAAGGGACCGCCGGAGAAGCCGGAAGCTGTGGAGGAAATTTCCGAGAAGCTAGCAAAAGAGAAGACCCCACCTCCCCCGCCAGTAAGGGAAGTCACACCACCACCACTTGTCTCCTCCTCTAAAAAGTCGCCGGTAACAAAACCGCTGAAAAAGAACCTGCTGCTTACCCAGCTAAGACAAGGAGATGACAGCGAGGAGGAGGCTATTCCCAGAAAGCGGACAAACAGCGACAATGCCCTGCCAGAGGCCACAAATCCCAATGCTCCCCTTGGAGTCCCTGAAGCCACGCAGCATCGGAAGCGTCGCAGCAGTGAAGAGGCCAAGGAGGTCACCTCCAAGGAGTCCTCTGAAAGTGCACCTTCTGTGGTCTGCGAGAAGCTGAAGCGCAACAACGAGCAGGACATCAAGGAGGAGGCTGAAACTACCACAGAGGAGGATCCACTGGCATTGCCAGCCAAGGACTCGTCGTCACCGCCTTCTGTCAAAGAACCAGGCTCCATCCCTGAGGGATCAGCAGCAGCCCGTCGGTCTGGACGTCGTGGTGGAGCCGCTGTAGTTTACTCCGAGCTGCCTCAGCCCAAGAGAACGCGAGGTGGAGCCAAGGAGCAGTCTCAGCCAGATGTTAAATCGGAGGTAAAGCAGGAATCCGATGAAGAGAAGGAGGAGGAGCAGGAGGATGAAGAAGAGGAAAAGGAAGCCACTCCAGTGAAACCAAAGGCGGAAATCAAAAAGGAAGAACCCAAGGCGAAACTGGAAAAGGAAAAGTCTTTGGAAAAGGAGCAGCCCGACAAGGAGGAACCCAAAGAGGAACCCAAGCCCAAGGTGGGCCGGGGACGTGGTCCGCGCAAGAAGCGTGAAGTGGACACCACCAACATCATCGAAGCCACCGACTCCGAGACCCCCGTGCGTCAATCCCGTCGCATTGCCCAGCAGAAGATCAAGGAGGAGGCTGAACGCCGCAAGCTGGAAGAGGTTGCCCTTCGCTCCATGAAACAGGAGCTCAAGAAAAAGAAAAAGGCCGAGAAGGAGGCTGATCCCACAGTGCTGGAACCCTCCGGCGAGGAATCTGAAGAATCGGAGGCCAGCGAGGCGGCGGAGGAAGAGGCTCGCAATAAGAAGAAAAAGAAGTGTCCCGGCAAGGATGGCGCCTGGTCATCGGATTCCGAGGAGCAGCCAGAAAGCGAGGAGGAGGAGGAGGAGCCTCCGCACTATGACACGGATCCGGGCTCACCACTCTTCCGCTCTGACCATGAATTTTCGCCCGAATCCGAGCTGGAGGATGAGTCGCAGGTGGTGCCCATGAAGCGGGCACGCACCGTGCGCAAGGAGAATGCCGCCGAGGAGGAAGAGGACGATGCGGAAGAGGCGTGCCAAGAGTGCGGCAAGTCGGATCATCCCGAATGGATACTGCTCTGCGACACACCCGCCTGCAACAAGGGCTACCACTGTTCCTGCCTCTCTCCCGTGCTCTTCTACATCCCGGAGGGCGACTGGCACTGTCCGCCCTGCCAGCAGGAGCAGCTCATCACCGCCTTGGAGAGTCAGCTGGAGAAGTTCGATGCCTTGGTGGCCCAGAAGCAGCAAGAACGAAGGCTGGCCGAGGAGCAGGCAGAGCGGGATCGTCAGGCAGCTGCCCATCTGGCGGCAAATGACAATGGCGGCGACAAGAGGAGGAACAAGGACGATGATGATGACGATGAGGAGGAGGAAGATGAGCAGGAAGTCAAGGTGGACAAGGTCAAGCGACGTCGCGGCGATGGGCGCAGCAACAGACGTGCCGCCAAGCGAGGCACCAGGCGTCGACGAGGTGATGAGTCTGCCTCCAGCAATGGCAAATCCGCGGGCAGTGGCTCTGGCTCTGGCTCGGGCTCCAGATCCGGCTCCAGCAGCTCTAGCAGCAGCAGCTTCTCGGACTCGGACGATGAGCCCATCTACAAGCTGCGCAAGCGGCGGCAGATCAATGTGAGCTATCGCCTCAACGAGTACGATGACCTCATCAATTCGGCGCTAAAGAAGGAAATGGATGAGGTGGCCGGTGCTGGGAATCTAGGACGCGGCAAAGACATCTCCACCATTATTGAGGCGGATAAGGAGAAGGCGCAGGAGCCTCCACCGATGGCCAATGACGTAAACAACGAGAATGAGAAAAAGCAGCAGCAGGAGAAGTCAAAATCAAAATCCAAATCCAGTGGCAGCTCCTCCTCCGATGACGAGGTGCTACTCAAGCGCAGCAGCAACAAATCCAGCAAGCAGCCGCCGGCCAAAAAGAAGCCCCGCAAGCTGACCACCTTGGATGTGAGCAGCGAGGAGGATCACGGCAGCGACGAGGACTTTAAGACCTCCAGCTACTCGGATGAAGACACCTCACAGTCCGGTTCCGGGGACTCTGACTCTAGCCTGGAGGTATACAGGCGGCCCGGCAGAGGGAAGAAACAACGGAAAGCGGCCAGAAGAGCAGCGCGCGAGAGACGCAAAGATCGCAAGTTTGTGGTAGAGGAGAGCGACGAGAGTGAGGAGGAAGTGCAGCGGCGCAGCACCAAGTCCAGCAAGAAGAAGAAGAAGGAGGACTCAGACTACACGGAAACGGAAACCGATGACGACGACAACGGTTCCGAGCTATCCGAGAACGTGGACAGCGCTGATCTGTGCGATGATACGACTTCCGAAAGCGATGACGGCGCCTGGCATCCCTCCAAAAAGAAGAAGAAGGGGTCTTCAAATGCCAAGAAATCCAGCTCCTCGTCAGCCATAGCCAGGAAATCTCCGAAATTAAAGAAACCCGCCAGTCAGCCAGCTAAGAAAACCAAGCGGCTAGAGTACTCCGACGACGACATCAGCGAAAGCGAACCGGAAGAGGATGAAGATGAGGATCGCGACGATGATGATGGAGCACCCCTCTCAGGCAAGGGTTCCGGCAAACAGCCACGCTCTCAGCCCCTTAAAACCAGTGGCTCCCTGGCAGGGCAGTCGGGCAAGGGAAAGGGCAAAGGCAAGGCCAAGAAAAAGAAGGCAGCATCCTCTTCCGATGAGGAGGAGGAGGGTAACGCCTCAGATGATCGCACCCGGACGCGTGGACGCCGCTATGCCTACATCGAGGAGGGTAAGTAATGGGATTTCTCAGGCATTTTCCGGGTTTAACTCAAATAAAATCCTTTCCAGACGACGACAGTTCCGATGGCGGCATTAAACCCGGTGTCCACCGACCTGACACACCGCCGGAGGAGCGTCAGAAGTTTATCCAACGGCAGGAGGAGATCAAGCGTATGCTGGCCGAAAAGAATGCCGAGGGAGCCAAGCTGGCAGCCACTCCCCGCTTAACGCCCATCAAGTCAGGAGGAGCTGGAGGAGGAACTGGTCCGGAGAAGCGTACGCCCGGCAAGGCCGCCGGTGCCGGTGGCGATTCTCTGTCCACTGTGCCGCTTTCGGTTATACGGCAGGCCAAGGTGCTGGACATCGACTACCTGCAGCGCAAGGGTGAGACTATTGGCGACCTGGATGACGTGGATGAATCGGAGTTGGATGATGCCGAGCTGCCCGATGACTTGCCCGATGATATGGAGGACATGGATGCCATAGCACGCATGGTGGAGGAGGAGGAGCAGTTCAGTGCCGCTGCGGCAGCCCGGGAGCTGCCCGGAGCCGAAGAGGTATTACGCACCACGCCCTCCAAGTCCAAGCAAGCAGCGAGCAGGGCGGCTCCCGAGGTCACAGTTCCGCCTCCTAGTGCATCCGGCCTGCAGGAGCCACATCGCAAGCGTTTGCCCATGCCTACGATGCATCCGCCGCTGCTACGCCATCAGTTCCCGATGTCCGTCAGTCAAGGACATCCGTCAGCCTCGCTCCTGCCACCACAGCCATCGCCACACGGGATGCATCCCATGCTACAGCGTCATTTGTCGCAGGCGGTGCCGCCACCCCAGGCCATGCAGCTGCTACAGAACGCCTTGTCCGCTCCGCTGGGACAGCCTTTGGGAAGGGCCAACTATGCGCCAGGTCCCCCAACGGCTCAGCATTTGCCGTTAGTTATGTCCCATCTAATGCAGGCTGCAGTGCGTCCGCCCGATGCTGGAGCGGCAGGAGCTCCCCCAGCCGACACCAAGCCACGTGGCAGACGGAAAAAGGTCACACCGCTCAGGGATCAGCTGCAGAAGCAACAAACGGCGGCAGCTGTCACGGCGGCCACATCATCATCGGTGGCTCCGGCGGCGACGGCTTCGGTTCCAGCGGAAAAGTTAAAGGGACCTCAGCCCCAACCTCTGTTTAAGCCACACGAGGATGCTCCTCCACACGCTACTCCCAGCGCTCCCTCGCAGGCCTCTGTGATCACCCGGATGCCGCCGGCCCACCTGCCCCTACCCCATGGACGGGGACACGGACACGGTCATGGTCCACCCGCCGGCATGTATCCCAGCAGCGCAGAGCTGGCCCGCTTCTATAGTCAAGTGGCTGGTCAGCCGCCACCTGTCTCCGCTGCCTCCACTGGATCCCGCTCTCCCTCATCTTCGCCTGGACCGCCGCGTCACCTTCTGCGTCCGCAACTACCGCCTGGTCTTCCGCCACCGCACTCAGCTTTACGTCCCACCTATGGACCGCCGCCACCACTAAGGGGATCCGGCCCGCCCACATCGACGGCCAGCGGAAGTGGAGGAGCGCCGAATACACGTCCGCCCTACCTCCACGGTGCGGAGCATCACGGCGGGCCTGCCGGACCACCAATGGGAGGAGCTTATGGCTCTGGACCACCACCAGCACGTCATGCATCACCCCACTTGAATCCGTACAGGTAAGTGAGCGAATATCTGCTTGGCAGGGGAATCGATTTTACCTGTAAATCATCTTGCAGAGCGCCACCCATTTACGGCAATCCCAACTATCCGCCTCGTGTGGGAGGAGGACCGCCAGGAGGACCTCCAGGACCTGGTAATATGCGACCAGGATCTGTGGACTATGCGGCCGGACCACGTAAGTGACATTATTATTGGGAGATTGTGCTTAATTAAGATTAAGCTCTTATTTATCGATTAATAACCCTGCTTTTATCGCTTTCAGGCGGATATCCTCCCTATGGCTACTATCCCCCGCCGCCACCACTGAGCACGCCGCCTTCCCAAGCACCGCCCAATTCGGTGATCGTCAGTGTTCCGCAGCTGGTGACAACCACCAATCACTCGGTGTCCGCTTTGACACGTGCAGGCAAAGCTCCCCCCGCATCAGGACCGCCGCCTCAAAGTGCACCCACTCTGCCACCTGCTGCAGCATCATCCGTAGCACCTGTAATCACCGACAAGCCAACGGCTACAGTGGCTTCTGTGATTACAAGCAAAAAGCTAACCACTTTGGGTGCTTACCCCATTAGCAAATCTCCGCCAGCCGTAGTGGGCGAGGTTTCCAGGGCAGCAGGAGCCACCAATTCACCGGCGACCCTTGCCGAAGATGACTCGGGATCGGCTCATGACACAACAGCGCCGCCAGCTGCCACGGGTGCCACGGCCGTGGGCGAGTTTAGTGGCTTGGTGAGCTACTTTAGTTCGCAGCAGGACGACTATGACACATAACAAACGCCGGCGGGCGCCTAAGGAGAGAAATTCTGTAAATATATGTAGTAGCTGATAGCTGTAAGTGAGGATTATGGAGTACTTTAAGGGCAGGGGCAAGGGGTCTACAAATATCCTGCTTTAGGCCACTTATCGGAAATTTACTCCCGCAAAAGCAATTTAGACGAAAAATCTTTTTGAGAATTTTTTTAATATAATTTTGAAGCATGTGGAAATATACTACGTTGTATGATAATCTTATGAGCTGATTTGATTGTTTTGTGTTGTATAGAAATTTAGTTTGACCTTTTCCACTTTAAATAATTTATTTATTTTACCTATCCCATAAATTTCTGTGCTCTTAGAGTTCTTAGCTAAAGCAAAACATCAACTTCATCTAGTATTCTAATTTTAGATGTATATTTTATGGGAGTTGTAGCGAAATGCGCATAAGTTATCTATGATACATACCATTAATGAGTACTAAACTATAATATAATAATAAACTATAAACGAATAATACCCTAAACATAATGCAATGTACACTAACGAATACATAGGTCGAGTAATAAACCCCACTAAGCAATTGGAATATGAGCATGCAGTGCATATTACAAACAACAAGTTAAACCTACCTATACACCATTATAACAAAATGCAAATGGTATACTAAGATCAAAGATGGGCAAAACACATATATATATATATATATATATTGATAATAAAAGTATTTATCATTAGTTGCAAATATTACAAATTAACTGTGTTTTATTTAAGGGGGGGGTAAGGTTAATTCGGTGAAAAAAAGGCCACTTTTTAAAAAATTATTGTGGCGGAACGGCTAAAGTTAGCTTAATGAATTAAATACCATATAATAACACAACATTTAAATAATTTTTGATAAATATTGTATTGAAAAATATTTTGAGGTAGAGAAGTTATAGGGAATCTCCCGAGTCGCCTCCAAAAAAAGTTGTTTTGCGGTGTACATCCTAACAGTCCACAGGATCATTCGATCTACAAAAATTAAACCTCATTCGTTAAAGGATAAGTGTCCCGAGGTATTCACGAAGCGTTTTTATTTTAAAAATTTTTTCCCTATTTTTTATCAAAATTTGAAGTCAAAACCCCGATTTTTGACTAAAAAAAAAAACGTTATTTCTTAATTTAAAAATATATAAAAATTAAAAAAAGGCCGACGTGAATACCTGGGGAATTAGTGTGCCAAATTTCAAATCGATCGGTCCAGTAGTTTTTCTGTAATCGTGTACACCGATTTGAAAAATTGAATTTTTCAGGAGAGCGCTTTAAACTTTGTGATTCTCATGCATTTAACACCAACCGACCTTCGTTCGACTCTGCATAACTTCGTCAATTTTCCCATGATCGATGTAAAACTTGGACACAATATTCTTAAGATATTAGGCCTTAAAAATAAAAAATAAAAAAAAAATTACGAAAAAAAAAATTAAATACCTTACCCCCCCCTTAAAGTATTTACTACAGGTTATTTCAGTGGAAAACGGGAAACTTTTCAAAAATGTTGTTGTACCGAAAAGGTTAAAGTTAGCTTAATGAATTAAATACCATAAAATAACAAAACATTTGAACAATTTGGATTATTTTTTTTTATTAAAATTAAACATATTTATAGGTCCTAGGAGTTATGGGGAATCTCTCGAGTCCCCTAAGAAATGTGTTGGTATGCCATCTTAAATGGGCACAAAATCATCGGATATCAAAAAACTACAATGCATTCATTAAAGGATAAGTGTCCTGAGGCATACAAGTGGCGTTTTTAAGTTTAAAAGATTTTCCACATTTTTTAATACATTTTTTGGGAGTCAAACCCAAATCTTTGAGTAAAAAATGAAGTTAATTTGTTGAATAAAAATATAAAAAAAAGGTTTAAAATAAAAAACCTCGACATTAGTAACTATAGAGTTAGTTTAAGAATTTATTTTCCAAATTTTAAACCCTTATCAGGAAAGTTTTTGAAACTTTTTTTAATTCTTATACATTAAACACCAAACAACCTCCATTAAACTACACATAGGTTCGTGAGCTTTTCTATAATCCATGTAAATTAATATTCATAAAAAAAAAATGTAAAAAAAAATATTAAATACCATACTTCCTCAATTTAATTATTTTCAAATTAACCCATAATTAAAAAGTGAAATAAAATTCAAGCTTTGCATAGAAAGGGTTAAAAGCTAACTTATTCAACAAATTCAAATTTCAGGTGAAGGTTATAAGAAAGTTGAATCTAAAATTCGCAATCCAAAATGTTTGCCAAAAAAGTGAAAACTACTTATGAAAATGTCAGCAGCAGTTGGTTTTATGCTTATGCTTAAATAGTTTCATTAGCATAAAATTTAATGCCTCGACATTAGCATAACGATTATTCAGATCTGCTGATCAGGCGAGTTGCTGAATTTTATGACAAATTAAGTACTAAAACAACCAATTATTGCGCGTTGATATTCTAATAAATAAATAAATTCTAATAAATATTTAACTGTATCATAATTATAAAAGATTAAAATAGAGTTTATTGATCGCGATATCGTTCTTTTGAAAATGAAACTGAAACATTCAAAGTCTTTAATAGTTCAATTGTGATTTCAACCTTAGTTAATTGTTGGTTCATTGACAACTTTACTTTAGTGATAATCGATAAGTAGGTTAGCAAATAGTCAGTGTGCAGTAAACGCTAAGTGCTAATTTATACCCAATTCATTGCCGAATAGTAAATGCAATAAGCGAATTCCGAGTGTTAAATGAATTCCAATTCATTGCGAAATTATAGTAGATAGCAGCTAAAGATTGTTGTGACCTCCACAGAAATTCCCAACTGCAATTTACCAATTGGGAAATATTGAAAATTGGTATTTTAATATATATATAATTATATAAATATATAAATAAGTATATATGTCGGAGATTACTTTGAAATGTTAGATGTAATTACTATTTGTAAGACTCTAAGTGTATCGAATATAGAAATAAATGAAGAGTAAAATAAGTAACGAGAGAAAAGGAAGAGAACTTATTAAGAAAGAGCGTGGTGGGAATGAAGAGAGTATTCCCTACCGAGTGTGGCGCAATGACGAGTAGAGAAGGACGAGAAAGTAGAGAAAGGAAAAAGTGCAAGTCAGTTCGAGCGAGACTGTGAAGGAAAGCGGACGAACTATTTAGTCATTGCGACTCACTGCGCTTAGAAAAGAAAAGGAAACTACCATGGCCGATAACATTGACCCCCCATCCCCGACATCAGAAGTGGGATCACCACCCCTACAAGACAACCCGGATAATGGCTGGCGCACACTTCTGGAAGCGCAAAGCAAAGTGATTGCAGAACTTTTGAAAGCTGCACAGTCCACGTCGACGCCTGGCGCACGTGCCGTTTCTGCAGTGCTACCATCTTTCGACCCTGAAGCTGCCGACGCAGACGCAGCAGCATGGTGCAAAACGGCGAACCTGATTTTATGTGAACATCCGCAAGAAGGTGCATCCTTGGTAATGACGCTCAGCAAGTCGCTTCACGGTAGCGCATCGCAGTGGCTGTCGCAAATTTGCTACCCTGGGATGAGCTGGACACAATTTAAGGAATTGTTCATGGAACGCTACGAAGGCAACGAGACGCCTGCAGCATTGTTGCTAGACATGCTGAAGGGAAGCCCAAATCCTGAAGAATGCCTCTCCGTGTACTCCAGCCGGTTGGTTACATCACTCTTGACCAAGTGGAAAGGAATGACGCACGAAGAAATTGCTGTATTGTTGGTCCTAGCTCATACATCCCAAATTGATTCCAGACTGCAGAGATTAGTGTTTACAACAAATCTAAAAACACGTGCGGAGCTACAACAACAACTGAAAGCTCATACGTTCGCAAAAAAATCTGAATACTCTGGAATGGAGCAAGGCCCGGAAAAGAAGAGGTTCAAGACGCAAACGCCGATAAAATGCCATAGTTGTGGAAAACTTGGACACAAAGCAATGGAGTGCCGCAAGAGAAAAGCAGAGGAAAGAAATGAGACGAGAACAGCCCTTAGCAACAGCAGACAAGCCGTTAGATGTTATAGGTGTGGCAACATTGGTCACATTGCATCAGTGTGTACTAAGGGGACAGCAACAGCGAATATAAACATCGAGAAGAGAGTGGACATGAGTGCGGTACTTCAGCCTAAGGAAACTGCAATACAATCTGGTGAGCGGTTTCCATTTTTCTTCGATTCGGGTTCCGAATGCTCGTTGGTGAAAGAAAGCATAAGCGAGAACCTTGCCGGAAAGAGATTCCATAATCTGGTAGTGTTGAGAGGCATAGGTGACAATGTTGTCAAAAGCAATAAGCAAATTCTGTCCACTGTACAAATTTCAGGATTTAAATTTGAATTGTTGTTTCACGTAGTTGATGAAAATTGCCTTAAATATGACATGATAATTGGACAAGATATTTTTCAACGTGGTTTTGGAGTTACTTCACAAAGTAACAAATTCGATATTTATAGAACTCAAACTGTAAATAAATAAAACATAAATAAAACGGTTCAGAGACGATGTATCGCTTTAGTGAGAACGAGAAGCTAATAGTAAGGGAGAAAATTCAGCAAATGTTGGAAGCAAAATTAATAAGACCTAGTTGTTCTCCTTTCGCTTGCCCAATGTTAATGGTTACAAAAAAAAAAAATAAATAAAAAAAAAAAAAGGATGGTAGTGAGAGATTGTGCATTGATTATAAAGAACTACACACAAATATAGTATCTGATAGATGTCCCTTGCCATTGATTTCAGATTCGATAGAAAGAACAGCGTTTGTGACCACGGAGGGTCAATATGAATCTTTAGCAGTGCAGCTTGAACTGAAGAATGCGTCTCCTATATTTATGATGAAATTGTTAAAGCATTTGGGGTTTAGCATAATTGTTTGCGATGGTTTGCATGGATGACGTGTTGGTCATGGCAGGCTCGGAAGATTAGGCTTCCCGAGGACTGAAAATTGTATTATATGTTGACTGTACCAGGGTTTTCATTTAACGTTGCCAAATATGGGTTTCTCGAACCTACTACGCAGTGTCTGGGCTATGAGCTACGCGGTAGAGAAATCAGACCCAATTCCTAGAAAATTCTTACGTTAAAAATTTGTCCTTTCAATCGGTGTAATTAGGCGTAAGACCATTTATTGAATTGGCGTCTTATTTTTAAAAATTTGTGTCTCGATTTTCTCAAATTGGGAAACCGATTCTTTAACTTCAAGTACTTTTTCGTGAAATTACGATTTTCAGAAATTACAACGAACGTCTTTTAGTGCTATTACAAGTGAGCCTGTAATCGTTATTTAGTTGACAGGTGTAAGCTCTTGTGGATATGTTTCAATACTAATAATTAATTAATTAATGGAGACCCTTATGTTGGTGCAGTATATTGGTAGAACTATGTGTCTTGTGGAGTCCAAGTAGCCTTCATATGAATTGGAAACATTGGTTGGCGTACTATTATTCTAACATTTTTGGCATTATTTGCTCAGATGAGAGTTCGTAGTCTATACTGACTGCAAATGTAATCATTGCGGAAATAATTGAAATTAAGTGCATCATCGGTGGCCATACTTAAAATCGTATGATTTTAAAATATAGTATGTGGATTTATTTTTGTGTCCAGAATTCACGTGACTGATTTCAGGATTTATTGATATAGTTTATAAACAACTAAAGATAATTGAAATTAAATTGAGTTACAAAGAGGGGTTTTAAAAAAAAATACAGAGAGGTGTGAGGTAGTGTTGTCTGCCAGTAGTGTCCCTTAAATTTTGTTGGTTGATTATTAATCAAAGTTATAAATCCGTTATGTATTTGGGTTAAAAAAAAAAAAAATAGACTCAGCAAGATTTATCAATGTTGTTGGAAATGACTAAGTTTAAAGATTGTTGAAAGTTGTATAATGTGTAAAGCTCTAAAGTAGTCATCTGGCTGGATACCAGGACCGCAGAGGTGATGGCAAGATGCTCTTGGCGGGGTGCAACTTGCGGCGAACTGCACAGTTAGTAGTGCAATCAATGCAAGTCCTTAAGAGATGCCAATCGGACCCATCCTCTGGGCTTGATACCACCACATGACAGAGAAAAGTATAGACAAAGAAAAGTTTAAAGTTGTGTTATGCTGAGCTGTCGGTAAAATGGTGCAAAAGGAAGAGCACTAAGATTAAAGGCAAGATGAATTTAAAATGGAAGAGTTGTTAAGAATGAGAAAGGAAAGAAAAAAAAGGATAAAGGAATGAAGATGGAAAATTAAGATGAAGAACGGCACCAAACAGAGCTGGATCCGAAGAGGACCCTTTGTCATTATAGAAAAGCTTGATGGTGGCCGATATGTTTTGAGATATTTGTCGAGTAAGCGAAATTTTAAGTAGTTGCCTGCGATGCCTGTTGAGGTAGATGCAGATGAATGCGAGAGATCGCCGACTGAGGCACTCGTAGGTATCATAAAATCAAAGCAAGAGATCTCTATTTTAAGATGGTTGAGGTGGTGCCATACACAGGGACTAAATTTGAATGATTGTGTGAAGCGTCGCTAAGGTGCGGCAAGAGTCCGGTACTGTGGTATGTGTGTGTGGTAGCCAGACGATTGAACTTGAGCAGAAGAGAGCGTGTACTCTAATTGATGTGTTAAGGAATAGCCTGCTAAGTTAATGTCTGATGGATATCCAAACTGTTGGGTTTGTGCAGAAGAGAGCATGTACTCTATGGTCGTGAAAGATTATCCTGCCAAACTAACATTTGAAGACACTGGAAGTGTAAGCGAGAGATCGCCGATTGAGGCACTCGTTGGTGGAATATAAGGCTATGAGGGTCCAGAGAGACCGTGACGCAAAAGGTGCGTGTGAGCGTTGCAAAGTGTGCAGCAAGAGCCTGGCAAGAGTTTGGTACAGTGGTAGCCAGACGATTGAACTTGAGCGGAAGAGAGCGTGTACTCTAAACGGTGTGTTAAGGAATATCCTGCTAAGTTAATGTCTGATGGAATTCAAAATTGATATCCAAACTGTTGGGTTTGTGCGGAAGAGAGCGTGTACTCTATGGTCGTAAAAGATTATCCCGCCAAACCAACGTTTGAAGACACTAGCAGTGTAAGCTAATTGATATTGAAGAGTTATTTAGAGCAGTATGAGTAAAGAAGCTAAGTTATGATTATTGTAAAGATATAGCAATGAAGTTTGAAGGCCAATTTTATGTAGAACTAAGCAACACGAGGTCGTGTTATAGTCAGGAAGGCCGTGTCGGAGATTACTTTGAAATGTTAGATGTAATTACTATTTGTAAGACTCTAAGTGTATCGAATATAGAAATAAATGAAGAGTAAAATAAGTAACGAGAGAAAAGGAAGAGAACTTATTAAGAAAGAGCGTGGTGGGAATGAAGAGAGTATTCCCTACCGAGTGTGGCGCAATGACGAGTAGAGAAGGACGAGAAAGTAGAGAAAGGAAAAAGTGCAAGTCAGTTCGAGCGAGACTGTGAAGGAAAGCGGACGAACTATTTAGTCATTGCGACTCACTGCGCTTAGAAAAGAAAAGGAAACTACCATGGCCGATAACATTGACCCCCATCCCCGACATATATATAAAATATAATATACAATTATATATATATATTATTTTTCCAAGACGTTTGGTAGGTACTACTAACATTTTTCCCCCCCATATCACCAGACGAGTCGATCTAGACAAGTAAATTTGTCTGTTCGTTTGAGAAAGAGAAACAAAAATGGTTCAGAAATAATAGAAAACTGGAGATAAAGGTTAAAATATATAAGTGTAGCTCGGATTTTCTTAACTAAACTGTTTTTAAAAAAATTAAAAAAACTTAAAAAAAATTTCACCAAATGATTTTTCAGGTATTCAAAAATAGTTTAGTAATACATTTTTTATACCTATATACAATTTTTTAAACATTTTTCTCAGAGGAATGCAACAGTCTGGCAAACAAAAATTTGGATTCAAAATTTAAAAGAATGGAAGAGCATTCAATATTCGACTGTTTGTCTGGTTTTTTAACCATGTTCCCAGAAAACTAATAAAAACCCATTGAACTTGAGGACTTGAAGATGTCTCAGCCGATCTTCAGATGGTTAAGTGGGGAGATCTCTCGCCATAAGATATATACATATGTATATATTCGCCAAGTGTGATCTCAATGGACCCTCTTGGCAAAAGGTTGGCCAACGCTGTATTATGGCCTACCTACACCTGAGGTCACCTTTGTATAATCTCTGCCTCGAAGTTGGACCAATTTTTGGCCAACTGTTATGCGAATTCGCCAATGTCGCTCTTTCACCCGACTTTATGGCTCTGCATTTAAATATCTAAAGGCAGAGACGCCGGGATCGCGCCACTCTTGAGCGAGACGATCGCCGAAGCGATCACATTGCAATTAACAGCCTCTTGTGTTTACATTTTAATAATTTTTTATGTTTATTTATTAGCTAAAATCTCAACGGGAACTTTGCGTAACAACAAATATATTCAACAACAATGGGCGCGTCGGTCGCTTGTTAATTTAACAAGCCGTCCTCGCGCCAAATGGCAGTGGCTCTCACTGGGGGTCACCTGCTGGCCTGGCCCACTTAGAAGCGGAAGCGCTTGGCGGGCACGTTGTACTGGTAGCCGGACTCCACGGGTGCTGGTGCGGGGGCAGAGTACACGGGAGCTGGTGCGGGAGCGGAGTAAACGGGAGCTGGTGCGGGGGCAGAGTAGACTGGAGCTGGTGCTGGGGCAGAGTAAACTGGAGCTGGGGCAGGAGCTGGGATGTCCTGGACAGGGGGCAGGTACTCAGGAGCTGGGGCAGGTGCAGAGTAAACTGGAGCAGGGGCAGGAGCAGAGTAGACTGGAGCGGGGGCAGGAGCAGAGTAAACTGGAGCTGGGGCAGGAGCTGGGATGTCCTGGACAGGTGGCAGGTACTCAGGAGCAGGAGCAGAGTGGACTGGAGCGGGGGCAGGAGCAGAGTAGACTGGAGCGGGGGCAGGAGCAGAGTAGACTGGAGCTGGGGCGGGAGCAGAGTAAACTGGAGCGGGGGCAGGAGCAGAGTAAACTGGAGCTGGGGCAGGAGCTGGGATGTCCTGGACAGGTGGCAGGTACTCAGGAGCTGGTGCAGGTGCAGAGTAAACTGGAGCTGGGGCAGGAGCAGAGTAGACTGGAGCGGGGGCAGGAGCTGGGATGTCCTGAACAGGTGGCAGGTACTCAGGAGCTGGTGCAGGTGCAGAGTAAACTGGAGCAGGAGCAGGAGCCGAGTAAACTGGAGCAGGAGCAGGAGCCGAGTACACTGGGGCAGGAGCAGGAGCCGAGTACACTGGGGCAGGAGCAGGTGCGGAGTACACTGGTGCCGGTGCTGGCGCAGAGTAAACCGGAGCTGGGGCCGACGGGATGTTGAAGGTCGGCGTGGGCTTGTTGTAGTTGTAGCCACTGCCGCCCAGGTTGAGGTGGGACACATCGGCGGAGGCCACGGCGATGGCGCACACAGCGAGGACGAAGAGTTTCTGAAAGGCACGGAGATCGATTAGCGAACGGGAACGGGATGCTAGACAGGCGAAGGTGAGCCGGCGGTCGAGGTCGGTGGCTATCTTGATCGATGTGCCGCCAGTGGTGATGGGCAGGCACAGGCACAGGTACTCACCATTGTTGTTGATTTGTTGGCGCTGGGCTACGAAGTTCGTTGGATTTGCTTTGGCAAGCTTTGGTCGCAAGACGCTGAAGCTGAATGATGACCAACTGCAGATGGGCCGGCACTTTTATACTCAAAAGCCGGGTCTGGTCAGCGGCCAGCTGGGTCTTCGCCGAGGGTCTTCTGCTTCTGCCTGTCAAAGTTAAGGCAGGCAGTTATGAGAAGAGCACAGCGCCGATCATTAACCCTGCCTTGGACGGGGACTTGGTGATAGCCTCAAGCGAACAACTCACAATCAATTTTGATTTAACGAGAATATAGGTTTTGATTTTGAAATGAATTATAAGAATGTTTAAATGTATAACATTTTAAAAGTTTGGATTAAGCTCGATCTTAGACTTTTTTTACTATTAAAAAGAAAACAATTTTAACAGAGTGCTGTTAAGTACTTAATTGTGCAGCAAAGCGCAAGCAGATACTGCCGGTTAGGGGCTATTTCTATCAGATAAACTCCCTGTTGAAAGCAATATTTTTAGCCACCATTTCAATGTGAGATCTGATGGTAATAAGAACCTGTATAGTCTTTATCGACTCGATAAAAAAACAGTTGAATTTATATATTCAATTAAGCAAACAGAGGGCTATACATCTATTTTTAGTGGAGTGTGTTGTGTCTGGTTATGCTATGCGTCATAATTTTGCTCTTAACTGTTAATCTTTTTCGTTTGAATAAATTAGCGAATTAATTTTACGACATATTTATCTGGTAGAGCCTTTCTCAGTCAGGATTTTAACAGTGAGAGGAGCAACTGGACCTTAACATAAAATTGAAAATATTATATATATTTTAATATATATATATATAATATATATATTTTAAGCAATATTTTCAACATTTCTAAATTATAGTATAATATTATAATAAATAATAAATCATATAATACATTTTTTTAATGTGATATTGAAAGTTGAGTTAAATAAAATCGTAGAGAAATTGAAATCAATAGAAAAGCTGTCAAAAAGTATGCAGTATATTTGAAATTTAAAGTTTTTCTAACAAAACATAATAAAATAACTAAATTTAAACGAGTTTTAAGTTTTACAGCTCTCAGTGGAATAAAACCCCATATAACCGGTGTCTAAATAACCCCTTTGCCTCAGCTTAGGGTTTCTAACAAAACATAATAAAATAACTAAATTTAAACGAGTTTTAAGTATTACAGCTCTCAGTGGAATAAAACCCCATATAACCGGTGTCTAAATAACCCCTTTGCCTCAGCTTAGGGTTAAAGTCGGCGCTCTCACCTTCTCACCTGGCGTGTGCGCCTGCGTGGCCGGTTACTGCTTACCGATCGCCGCTATCGGAAGATTTGGATGGGTTTTGCAATGTCAATAGGGCAGGCGGCACGGCAGCCGAGCGGATGGGCACGGGACACGCCAACACGCATTTGCATTTACATTCGGATGCGGGGGCAGCTGCTGGTCGACGCTTTAAGGGCCGCCGGCTAAGGTCAGGGGTCAGTTGATCGAGGCACTTCTCACATTCCGGCTTGGCTTGAGAAAATTCGTCTTGTTTGGCTATTAGCCGGTGCTAATGGCCAAACTACACGCTCGGCCAAGCGCAGCTTGTCCGGCTCAAGGATGCCCGGCTCGGCTTAGCCTCAGTGAACTTGTAACTAATGAAAACGAAATGAAAAAGCCAAACAGAGAGACGTCCACCGCGGTGGCTTAATTAATTTGAATATTATTTAGGGTCCGGCCCCGTGTAAAGCCCCCGAAGCTGAGCGTTTAATTGTGGTCTTAAGGGCCACATTAACTACCAATATATTGTTTGTGGGGTTTTGTCTGGCCCGCTGGCCGCTTTTGCCATCTTTTTTTTGCCCAATCGTGAGGTGGCATTTTTCCTGCTCGTCAACACCTTGTTTAGGGACAGTATCGATGTCATTATAGACTGAAAAAAATTCAAATAATTTTACAAATTTAAAAAACAAATCAGAGAAGTTGAAAAAGCATCGGGAAGAATTTTAAATGCTTAAAATAATATTGCTTTAAGTCTAATTAGGCATCTGGAGCAATGGAAACTGATTAAGAAAGATATATTTCGTTTTCTGTGACAATATTTTCATTCACGAATTTCAAATAAAACAAAGCAATAATACATAAAAAATATTTAAAAACAAAAGGCTCAAATTTGCATATTTATTAATCGATTTTATCCATTGAATTGAAGTATTTATCACTGATAATTAATAAAAATATAATAATATGATATTGATTTTACCTTTACATTTAAAATGCTAAACAAAATCGATTTTTAGATTTACGAAATATCATTTTGATGTGTCACAGATATGATTTTCTTTACAATATAAATTTTTTTGTTGTGTATTTGACCTTCAGCAGACATCCCCCAGCAGCAGCGACAATGTGTCTGCGCTTTGTTTATTGTTGTTTGAAAGCTAATCGAAGCTCCCTGCATATTGGTTAATTTTTAATGCATAAATGCAGCAGCTGAAAGCATATCTTACTCTAAACGAAATCAATTCATAAGGTGTCGCGAATTTGCTTAGCCTACTTTAAGAGTATCGAATATCATCTGCAGACTTGCAGATAAAATATATATTTCTTCTTTTTTTGCAAAAAATAAGAGGCAGATGGCCAGGCACAAGAGGCGTAATCCGTTTTAATTATGCCATTTAAGAGGTTCACACAGCAACAACCAGCATCGAATTCAACAAAGATGCAAAGCATTGGCTTGCATAAAAATGTATTTTGCCCCCCAGGTCTCACTTAATTAACCAATTAGCTAACCATATTCAATGAAACACGAAATAAAACCAAAGTATCTACGAAAAACGTAAGCCAATTTCGATGGCTGTACGCCCAGAATGCTTTTGTTGGTCTTAAGGATGATTAAAAAGATAAAATTAACATCTGGATTGCAGGCTTTGAACATTTGCATATATGCGCCATTTATCATCCGAAATGTTTCCCAATAAATAATGTAAAACCGGCGGCCAAGCCAATATGTTTGACTTTAATTAGCCAGTCGGTTTGCTTACCACAAACGGAGATCAAGCTTAAACGGTGAAGCGAAGCTTTTGGCCATAATAAGAAGAGCTTTTCCCAGCCGAGTTATTAATGTCTTTATTTGAGACGCTCTTTAACAGCAATGAAACTAAATGATTGGCTTTAAAAAGCCTGACCCAGTTGGGCTATTTCTGGAAAATGAAGATAATTAAATGAGGTGTAAAGTGGAAACCAAATGTTTTAGTAATATGTCAACAGAATATATTGTTATTTAGGGTTAAATAAAACTAGTAAAGCATATCTATGAATATGTATCATAAACGAGGAGACTGATATGCCTAAAAAAAATTAACTTTAATTTCACGAGACACATTTTAAATTTAACGGATAATTGCTTTCGACTGCCAGATTCTAGCGGAGTTCGGAACCATGGATTGGCATTGAAGTGAAAGCGCCATCTAGAAACATCGATTGTCGATAGTCCCAACCAATATCAGTTAGATGAGATGGGAGGTTAGCTGTATAGCTAGATTCCCAGCTATGTAGCCAAAATCTGGCGAATTCGCTAAAAATTTGGGAATTCCATAGACAAAATTCTGTTAGGTTCTCGTTTAAACAGAAAATTCGGTTAACAAGCGCTGTTACTCTCATTCTGGGAAATTCCATAGACAAAATTCTTCTCTCATTTTACTTACATTTTCACATTCTACACGAGAATTCGACCCTGTTGTTCTGTAAACGTGTAAAAGTTTGTTTTGACATTTCACGTTTATGCGTACTCTTGCTAAATATTAATTTTAAGAACAATAATTATAATTATAATTAAGTAATATAAATTAAAAAATATAAAAGAAAATTATTAATAAAAAATCAGCTTTTTTCTTAGCTTTTTCCCGTTGTAAGTGACATCACTGTGGCAACCTATAAATACGGGTGAAACTCACCACATTCTGAAATTTTCACGGCCGGTACGCGGACATCGATGCTTTCGATGTTTTAAGGTAAAACAACCGATTTATTCGTGGCGTGAGTTTTGAACAGTAACTTGGGATATCTAAAAAATAAGAATAACTTGAAGCAAATCAAACTGGCTATATTACCGCCATAAAAGATAACGGAATAACGGGAAACATCTCTCTCCGATTATCGTGGAATATAAAACAACTGATTGATTTTGTAAACAAATGTTTGTTATCAATCGCAATTAACAACAAAACCAATGTTGCGCTAAGAGCGAATGCCGAGTGAAAAGAGTAGCCAAAAGCCGTGGATTCGCCGACAATTTCGGTGTATTTAAGGCTGTGCATAATAAAAACAAAATCCGAATTTCGAAACCTTTTCTCAGTCAGCGGAATCGGGAGAGCAACGTCAAATTTTCGTGTCACGCCATCTCGCTCGCACCGCAAAGGTCGTTCGTTGCTGCCGTGTTGGTGTGTGGGGCCATGTGTGTGTGTGAGTGCTTTTTGGTTGGAATATGGAAGAATATACGCGATATAAAATGCATGAAGGCATAAATTAAATGAAAGCTGCATGTGAAAACAGAACCAAAGCCAATGTTAATTCTCGTGCAAGGCAAAGAATAACGAATGACGAGAGCGCGCAATAAGATAAAATTGAAGGTTATTCTCTGTGCGTGTGTGTACGCGCGTGCCAGTGTGTGGGTACTCCATTGTAAACAAAAAAGCAAGTGTTGAGCGAGGGAGAGAACGGGAGAGTGAGAGAGCAGAGCGGAAGAGCTCTGGCTAGAGAGAGCGCACGCTTGTTCTCTGGCTCGCTCGCTCGCACGAAGAAAGCAGAGCAGAGCGACGCTGAAAATGTCAATAAACTCTGCAAAAGGTGAGGAAAAACGCAACAAGAGCGCCGCTGTCGTGTAAAATAAAACCCAAGCGGCTCGGCTCTCGAAGAAAGCAGAAAGGCAAGTGCAAAACAGAACACGGTGCGTGTGTGTGTCGAGTGTGTGTTTGTGTGCTGGTGTGCGAGAGTGTCGGTTCTGATTGGACTGTATGTGCAGAAGAGTTTTTCTGGTTTCGCTTTGCCTGCAACAACAGCTTCCGCGTTTGCAGCTCCAACAAGTTTCGTCGTCGTTCCTTTCGCGGCTGCACTTTGTTTTTTATTTTATTGTCCATTCTCGCTGCCGCGTCCGTTGCCGTTCTTAACCCATACAAGTGCGCCGCCTGCACACGGAATCGGGATGATGAGTAATTTACCGTTATTAATTCACAGGTGAAAAATTCAAGTGCAATAATTTCCCCACTTGCCATCGTCCCCACGCGAAAGTCTAAGGAGAGTCAAAGTCAAACACTGATTGACATGCAAAGCCCCAGCGAAATTCCGCAATAAAAATGTGACAAACTGATTTTCCAGCAAACAAAACAAAAAACCAACCAACCGACTACTTAATTCCCAACTGGAACGGCACACTAAAGTTTTGTCAACGACGGAAACTCATTTTTAGGGAAACCCCATTAAACTCATATTAGACTGAACGAAACTACTATTGGACTAACTTGATTTAATTTTGAAATGGTAAGTTTATGGCTTTTATTTTGAAGATTTTATTTGTTAGTGGAATTTTTATTTTAATATAGCATATTTTCCTTTTGCAAGTTTTGTTATAACAAGGTTTCCAATATTTTCTAAAAACATTTCCTAAAAGTTATAACCAAACATCGCAAAATATGTGAATCCATGAAATTATTTTGTATCTCAGCAAGTAACTCTACATTCAAGAGAAGGAAATCTCCCACCAGCGGTCACACTTGAGGCCTTGCTCCGCCAAGCTCACGGCACTCACCACGAAAAAGGCCTTTCGAGCCCCTGAAATCAAAACAATTTAATTAACGCCCCAATCTGTGGCACACGGGGGAAGGCAGTTATGAAGGGGAGAACGACAGGGGGAAGTGCCTGGCCTGGCCACTTCAATTCATAAGCAGTGAAATGTAACGGCGCCGCTGGTCACTTGAACTACTTTCATATGGCGGGGGCTCGAGTTCGGACCCCAATTTGGGCTGAGTCACCCGCTTGGAGTGCAATTGCAGCGAATGGCTCGAAGAGAAACGGATCGGGAGAGAACCAAAGTGCACTGAAACAAAGACTAAATACTAATAAAAGAACGAAGTGTAAATAGTGGAATTTGATAAAGCCAGAATAAGTCGCATATTCTAGAAACTAGAACTATTCTAGAACTAGAAATTATTTAAATATACATTTTTATAAAAATATCCCTATTAATGGCTAAAATCTTTAACAAGCATCGAGAGTTTTGAAAATTATAAATTTGTGTTTAAAAAAACAACAAAAGAACCCCTTTAGATAGACATATTTTTTGATCGATTCGTATTTTTATGAGATCTTTTCCCCAAGTGCATGCCACCGGAAATCGTTTCGACAACGACGACTTTGGCTACAATGAATCGGGCCCAAGAAAAAGCAGAGCAGAACAGGGCTCGATCAGGGAGTGTTTCTGGGGAGGACGGGTTGAGGCAGAGGCAAGTCTCTTAACAATATGGCCCAGGCACGTTTTGAACTCTACCACACATTTCTTCTGACGAGTCTCCGGCTCTTTCTGCTTTCGCGTGTGGCTTGACCCAGAAAAATCGAAGACTCGCCAGAGACAGAGTCTTGCCCCGTAGGTGCTGCCAATTCTACAATGATGAGGTTGAGCTTGGGTCTTGGGACTTGGGACCGAAGTTCGGTCTTTCGAGGAGCTGCAGAAGCGGTTGTCTCATAAAACATTTTAAATGTTGGGCTCATTATTATTTTGACTACGTCGGCTTGCGGTTTTTGTGTTTATTGGCTGCAGTCTTACCTTCTTTTCATTTTGTAAACTGGGTTTATGTGCGGTCCTCGCCAGCTTCGGTGTGTTCCTCTCTTCCCGCTTCTTTCTGAAGGTTAACCGCGAGTTTTGTAAGTTGATTGGCTGCGGCGGCTGTTGTGTTGGTCCATTGCGTCTGGACTTGTTTATGTTCTTGAACTCTTTTTAAGTGTTTGCGGCCTCAAATGTTAATTTACAGCTTTTGTTGTCATAACTCAGGTTAAAGGCAGGTGTGGAGGGGTGGAAGCACATCTCCCTGAGGTCGGATCGGCGAACTGGGACTTTAATGTGGCGATGATGCGGTTATTGAGGCGTGCAACTAATTTACGATTATGCGCATTTGTAATTTGACAATAAGCATAATGCATGTTTTTTATAAGCTAAGACGAGGATGGTACAGAAATTCATATAGTTTTGAAAACTTTTTGAATAACCTCTCATATAATGATTTCTATAACACTTTTGTATATTCTAAATGGAGGTAATGAAGATTTTCAGCATAAAAATAGATCTTTGCCAATTTTTAATTTAAAAAACTCTATTCTCTATAATTTTCAAAATGTCATCACTGATATCTAAAGAGAGAAATAACCAAACTATTATTTTAGTATTTGATACCCCTTCTCTGGTTCAAACCCATCGCTATGGAGATTATAATTTGTCTGGCCATATCTCTTGTCGATCTTGAACTGCCACAACGGCGGCGGCAGCAACGACTCAACTATTTTTCGTTTGTACGTCAGTTGGGTGCCATGCCAGCTGTTAACCGGTTCTCGGATATATCTTCGGGCGTTCCAACTGCCATCGATCGCCCCCTACTCGCCGCCCCCACTTACAGTACATAAATCGTTACAAGCTTCAATAGCTTCGACATCCGCCTGCTCCTCCCCGGTACCCCGTTGGCTTTGACTCTGACTGCTAATTAGCAGTTAACAATTGCAACATTGACCTCCTCACCATAATTCTTGGCTTCTTCTGGCTCGCACACAGCCACAGCCACAACACGACAGCAGCGAGTAAGAAGACTTTCTGCTTTGTCCCATTGTCTGGGGCGGGAGATCAAACTATAAGATACAATAACATGGCAGCAGGTTTACCTTGTTGTAACCTCGCCAAAAACTTACAATAGAAAACAAAGAAGGAGAAGCTGAGGCTTTAGAAAGAAAAAAAGAGCCATCTTCTGCTCTCTCTAAGAACAAGGGTAAGATATTAAAAGCCAGACAATTGTAGTTAAAATTTTATATTAATAATAACTATATTTTCCAGTGGTAGTATTCATTTAATTCATATTTCGATTGTAATGTAGACTTTTCTTGAAGCTATGAAGTTGGGAATTTAAATATAAATAAGGCTTATACTTAAGCTTAGTTTATATTTAAATTAAATTAGCTTTTCTAGATTGCTTAAGGTAAATTAAATTCAAAATCTTATCTTAGGATTCTAATTTCCAACATTTACAGATGGTTTACAGCCTTTAAGATTTTGAATTAAGGTTGAACTCTAACCAGTTTTATATAAATTGCTAGAATTAATATATTAAATAAAATATTGCCAAAATATCGATTCAATCTTAGCATATCAAATTTGTATCTAGAGCTCAGACCCACTTTAAAAGAGTATTTAAATCTTCGAAACTATTTGTTAATTCTTTCCTGTTTTTTGGCCAGTTGCAGTTGCCTGTCGCTGTCTTTTGCCGTCGTTGCTGTTGTGCCATTTTGTTTGATTTTTGCAACTGGCAACTTTACCAATTGCAATAACTGTGCAGTTGCTGGTTGTTCGGTTGCCGTTGTATGTTGCCAGTTGCCAGTTGCCGTTGCCGCTTTTTGTTTTGTCTATACGTGTCTATATAAACATGATCGCTTTGGCCAATATCTTGGCTCGGTTCGGCTAAGCTCGGCTCGGCACTTTTCCGTTTGGCGTTGGTAGGTGACGCGGGGCCACAGTAAAAGACGAAAAACATGTTACCCAAATGTTGTTGCTGCTGCTGCTGGGTGCTCGTTGCAGCAACTCACTGGTTGTGCAACAATTGGAGGCATTTTTGGACTGCAGTTGAACTTTTGTTGCAGACAAAAAAGGAACGTATGAATGTGTGCCCCGGTAGTCGGCTCGGAATGATTGATAAATCAGATTAAACCTAAAGCTGGCTTCATTTACTTGAATAAGGGTCTTAGAGTCACATATATCAGATAAATAAAATGTATTTAGCTAGTTTTTAATTGAACAAGGGAACTAAATATTAAATTTGATCAGAAAAATCGAAGCCTAATCTTTCAATATAGTTATTTTTCATCGCTATCATCACTTTTTAGATCGGCACACCCATCGCATTAATAATAACTCTGTGAATGCCAACGACCCATCAACAGACTCGGCCCTTGTGTCAGTCAGTCACTCAATTAACGAGAAAACCAGCGCAGAGTTAACAGAATATGCTGAGAATAAATGAATTTTCATGTTTATTTATTTATAACACTGAAGGTCAGCTAATAAATCCCCGAAAGCAACGCCAAAGGAGCTACACAAACCATCAGGGTCCCGAGCCGGTTGAAATTTATGACCATTAGCCATTAATTTATGCAAAGAAGAAAGAATAACTTGATGAATAAGAAGAAGCGAATGGGGGATCATGCTCTGCCCGGCTCTTCTTTAGGTTCGGCACCGAGAAATCGATAAAAATCTCATCAAATTAAAGCAAAACGATAAAAATTGATTGGCGTATGGCTCCAGACAAACGCCTTACAAGACCCCTATTGCTTCGGCTTGATCGTTAGCTTCTCGATTGAGGTACCAGCTAGGTTTCTCAATCGAGAAGACAACTCGAAAGCTGCCGTGTAGCCAATATAAAATGCCTTCAAAAACCTATTCTAATGCGACGCAAAGGCTGACAGCGATCCAACTCCGGGGCTCTTCTCGCTCCACAATTCTTCTGCCATTTTTGCTTTGCGAACTGCCTTCGTCCGATGACTAATCACTCGAAAATTGCCGCCATCGTCTGAGGTCTGAGACTGTGGGCTCCAGTTTGTTTGGATAATTTGATTTGTGTGCCATGACCAAGAGTATTGTACGCTAATAAAGAGTACAAACCAATTGGATAAAGAATAGTTTCTAAATTAATTAAAATAATACCTGGTTTACCTAAGAAAAAACGAAATAAAACTCGGAGGTATGATAGGGATGTTTTTTTAAACTGTTATTAATTAAGTCTGGACTTCACAAGATTATTTTAATTGTTATATTTTGAATGGAAATTTTAAAAAATTGATGGTGACTTATGTGAGGTATTCCTAGGGTATTTTAGAATATAATTGTTTAATCCACACAATTGTTTTTTCCCTGCTGACGCTTTACCCTGCCCTCGTTTGTGCTCGCCTTCAGTTTGGTCCTCTTTGCTGCTTTGGTTGATTGGTTCCACTCATTCTGCCCGTTCCACCTTTGCTCCCCCGCCAGAAGAAACGTGTTCTTCCTGCTTCAGGTTTCTCCGACTCGGCTCGGTTCGATTCTCCGCTTTCAAGAGCTCGATTCGCCTTCGAGACATACTGTTTGAGTAGCGCTCCTACCAACTTATGACGCATGCTTGGCGTTTCCTAGTTTCAGCCTGAAAAATAAAACATTGACTGGGTTTTCTGTAGCATAATTTCACAATTTTGCACAGTAAAAATAGTATTTATTACAAATTCTTTTATAAAACGTAACCTTAAATAATATAAAATTA